CAGAGACATACAAGGAAACCTGTTACAATCAGGAAACTCCTTAAGGGGACTCTCTAAGGCCCACACATCAAGAAAGGTCCGGTCATTCCCAGTCACTGTGGAGGACAATCTCTCACAGGACAAACAGATACGACATTACCTATTGTAAAAAATGCTACCACTCTAGATGGTAGTTTGACTAGTGAGGACAAATCAAACATGACTGGAGGAGACAAAAAAAAACCCCATATTTTGGCAAATTTCTATAAAGGATCAGAGGCCTCAGTTGAAAGTAAGTATAAATAATAACAGTTATTACCGGTTTAGTGGACACTGGGACAGACGTGACTATTACAACCCCAAAGTCCTGGCCTCAGAGATGGCCCCTAAAAGAGGTGAATGTTCAATTTTTAGGGATTGTAGTTTTATCTAGAGTACGCCAGAGTGTTATGTGGGTTGTCTACATAGGACTGGAAGGACAGAGAGGATGGTTAAAGACATATGTAGCAGATATTGCAATAAATCTCTGGGGTCAAGACCTTTTACAGAAGTGGCATACCCAGATTAACATTCCTCCAGTATCAGATGCAAATCACATATAACCTCTAAATGGCAGACAAAATACAGGAAGGCATTATGGAAAACAGATACCAACCATCCAAGCTGTACATAAACAAAGTATAAATGATAAACCTTCAGAGGAACCAAAAGCTCTACCCTTAAAATGATGAACTTACAGATGAACCTGTAAGGACAATGGCCCATGACCTCTGAGAAGCTGGAGGCTTTAGAAAAGCTAGTTCACGAACAGCTACATGCTGGGCATATAGAAGAATCTACCAGCCCTTGGAATTCTCCTGGATTTGTTATCAAAAAGAAGTCTGGTAAATGGAGAATGCTGACAGACCTGAGAGCCATTAATAAAGTAATTCAGCCTCTGGGCTCTCACAACTTGGAATGCCTTTACCTTCCTTGATTCCTAAAGGATGGCCTATCATAGTCACTGATCTAAAAGATTGCTTCTTCACTATACCGTTACAAGAAAATGATAGGGAAAAATTTGCGTTTACCATACCAACTTAATAATTCACAGCCAGTTAAGACATTTCAGTGGAAGGTTTTGCCACAGGCAATGTTAAATAGTCCTACCTTGTGCCAGCACTTTGTACAAAAACCTTTGGATATAATCCATAAGAAATTTCCACAATCCATAATATATCATTATATGGATGACATATTATTGTCGGATTCTAAGAAGGAAACATTAGAACGGATGTTTGAGACAGTAAAGGAAGTTCTACCTCATTGGGGATTACAAATTGCCCCAGAAAAGATACAAAGAGGAGATTCTAATAATTATTTAGGTTATAAAATAGACTTACAAAAAAATCAGGCCACAAAAAGTACAAATTAGAAAAGATCATCATCAAACTCTTAATGACCTGCAGAAATTGCTAGGGGAAATATCTGTACTACAGACAATAATTGGAGTCGAAGGACATGACTTAAAACATTAAAAAATGGCCCTTAAAGAGGACAAGGACTTAAACAGTCCACAAATACTATCAGCTGAAGCAGGAAATGAATTACAGTGGGTGGAAACCAGAATACTGGACACACATGTAGACCATTTGGACCCTAATTTAGACTATATTCTTGTTATTTTACCATCCAGAGAATACCCTTCAGGGATTCTGATGCAGAGGGAAGATATATTAGAACGGACATTTCTGCCACATAAACAGAATAAAAAGCTAAAGACATACATAGAAAAGATTTCTGATTTAATTCTAAAAGGCAAATTAAGATTTAGCCAACTGACTGGAAGGGACCCAGCAGAAATTAAAGTTCCTTTAAGTAATAAGGAAATTTCCTCCTTATGGAAGGACAATGAATACTGGCAGACAGCTTTTACTAACCTTCTGGGAACAATTAGCAACAATTATCCCAAAACTGACAGAATTAAATTCATAAAAAAGACAATCTGGATCCTTCCATGTATTGTAAGAAAAACACCTATTTCTGGAGTCCTACCTTCTACACTGATTCGAACAAATCAGGTAAGGCAGGATATAAATTAGGACAGATAAGTAAAGTAGTTCAAAGTCCTTAAACTCTGTACAGAAGGCAGAATTATACACAATTCTTATGGTACAGAATTAACTTCACTGTTTCTACAATTACAAGAAAACAATCAGGAACAGGACTCATCTGATATAACACACATCAGATTCCATACGGGTCTGCCAGGCCCACTAGCACAAGGCAATGATGAGATTGATCATTTATTAATAGGAAGCGTGCTAGATGCCTCAGAATTTCATAAGAAACACCATGTAGATAGCAAAGGTTTAAAAAAGGATTTCTCTGTCACTAGGCAATAAGCCACGGAGATAGTGAGAAACGGTCCTGCCTGTTCATTCTATAATCAAGCTCCAATACCAGCATGCTGTAATCCTAAGGACATTCGGAGAAATGAGGTTTGGCAGATGGATGTCTTTCACTTTCCAGAATTTGGAAATTTAAAATATGTGCATCATACTATAGACACATTTTCAGGGTTTCAGTGGGCTATTGCTCTTAGCTCTGAAAAGGCCAATTCTGTTATAACACACCTGTTAGACGTAATGGCCGCTATGGGTATACCTGCAAAAATAAACACTGACAATGCTCCGCATATGTCTCCACAATATTGGAACAGTTTTCCAAATATATAACATAAAGCACATAACCGGTATACCACACAATCCCACAGGACAACCAGTGGTAGAGAGATCTAACCGAACACTGAGAATGTTCCATAAACAGGAAGGGGGAACAAAACGCCCCAAACATAGGTTACATAATACTTTATGAACACTAAACTTTAATGCTAATGAGAAAGGACCAACAGCTGCAGAAAGACAATGGGCTACAGAAAAAACTTCTGAACTAAATCAGCCGGTATACTTAAAGATTTATTGACCTCTGTATGAAAACCAGGACATGTATTATGTTGGGGAAGGGGTTTCGCCTTTGTTTCCCCAGGAGAAGAAAAGCTTTGGATACCATCAAAGTTGATCAAGATTCGAGTCAAACAAGAAAAACCTCTCGATGAGGAGACATGACAGGTCATCCACCAAGGCATATTTTTTTTTTTTAATCTTCACAGGGAAACTCATCTTCAGAAAGCAAAAAGACACTGCATGGGTGGATACTTAAAGAAGAGCAGGTAGCTATCTAAAAAGAACCATCAAACAAAAGGAATTTGCCATATGGTAAACTCTACAGCTGTCTCTTAGTGAAATCTATTTCTCTTTATTTCCTAGTCCTATTCAATTAAACCAACGCTGGCTTTAAAGTTGGATTTGGCTTTCCTCCTCTAAATCCAAGCGTGTTGTTAAAATAAAATTCAGAGTTTCTGTACTATATCAAGAAGCCAACTGATGTAATACAGAATAAGAAAAAAATGGGGACTGTCATTTGTTTATTCTCTGCTCTTCCTCTGAAAGTATAAATTCACTCATAATTATTATTTTCTTTATTGTTGCCTTCCTGGTTTACATATATATAAAAGTTAAAATTTCTCTGCTGACATTAATGTTTTAGTTCCCCATAGCCAACGAAGAACTTCCCAACAGCAATCCTTTTAGTCTCTGGAAAGAAAATGGGCCCCACCCCATCGAATCCACTGGATCCAACTCGATGCATTTCTACTGACACTCTGACCAGAGCTTCAAGTACTGACCTTCAATCAACTCGAGGACTTCAATCAAGAGAAGGACTTCAACCTAGACCTTCAAACAAGCATCTCCTACCAAACATGGACTGGATACATGTGTTGCAGATAATCCACTCAAGACTTTCACTACTCTAACATTTTCTTCCTACAGGACCCCACGAGGTTATCATCGTTCCATTTCAGCAAGAAGTAACTTGGAGAATACTATGCCCCCTTCCCCCATTGTTGACACTAAGGATAATGTACACCTAGTTAGGGCTAGTTTCCTATTGTTTAGGTTTGAGTTTGGAAGGAGGTGTTCAGGTTTGGACATCTCTTTCAGATGACTTTAGGGTTTAGTTGGAATCGATATAGTTAGGATATAAGTAGATTATTATATCTTCCTGTAATTCACCTTTATGATTGTTAATTATAGATAACTTACTCTGTTAAGTTTAAATACTCTTTAGACTAAAAGGGGAATTGTAGGGAGAAATCCTGATTAGAGGTACTTTGAGTTTGGAAGGAGGTGTTCAGGTTTGGACATCTCTTTCAGATGACTTTAGGGTTTAGTTGGAATCGATATAGTTAGGATATAAGTAGATTATTATATCTTCCTGTAATTCACCTTTATGATTGTTAATTATAGATAACTTACTCTGTTAAGTTTAAATACTCTTTAGACTAAAAGGGGAATTGTAGGGAGAAATCCTGATTAGAGGTACAGCTGACCATGCCTACTTGGGCCTGGTCAGTTATGTAACAAGGGTTTAAGAAGGAGGGAGGCGTAAATGCCTGGCTGAGCTGACTAGGAAGCATTTTCTGGGACCATCCTGCTCAGGTGCAAACTTGGTCACTGGATGCCTTACATGAATACTTTTCCCCAATAAACTATCATTTATCAACCTATTTCTGACTTCACTTTGTAAACATCAATACATCTTTACATATTTCTTTTCATAATTTTCTTTTTCTTTTTTTTTTTTGGTTTTTTGAGACAGGGTTTCTCTGTATTGCTTTGGAAATTGTCCTGAAACTCACTCTGTAGACCAGGCTGGCCTTGAACTCATAGAGATCCGCATGCCTCTGCCTCCCGAGTACTGGATTAAAGGCGTGCGCCACCAACGTCCAGGGATTTTCTTTTGCTGTGTCTGCCACATGCATGGAGGCCATGAGAACCCTTGCAGCTGGAGTTAAGGTATTGTGATCTGCTGGAGGTGAGTACTGGGCACTAAACTCCTCTTTCTGGAAGATTATCAAGTGTGCTTAAGCACTGAGCCCACACAGGTTGTAAAAATAACAAATGAAGAATGACAAGCACCTTATCTGTCTGTCCTGAGTGAACGTAGTTACCGTAGCACTCTGCGTGCTGTTCTGGGGTAGACTGGATGGGATCTGGACCATGCTCCCGGCTGCAGGCTGAGAAATCACCATCGTATTGTACAATGGGGCTGGGAGAGTGCTCGGAGTCTGGTTCGGAAGGGACGTCTGCTGACTGTGTCCACTCATGACACTCTGTTGACTCTGCTGGAAAGATTTATAGAGATTTCCTAACAGTTATAGGACAATGGCTGACAGAACAGAAAAGGACCAGCAAAATCTATTATTCTGTCAGAAATATAGCAAAGACTGACTTGGAATAGCTGACTTAGTTTGGATTCTTCGATGGAAAGTAAACTAAGACCTTAAAAGAAGCATGGTCTTAAAAGGAAGTAGAAAATGCAGAGAAGATGTCTGCAAGCAAGTCAGTAATGGTCAGTCACAAACTTGTACGTTTTTTCAAATATGTTAACAGATGTACACTAATTACCAGAATTCTATGGAATGATCAAACTATTCCTGCTTCCCTAACATTCTATTCAGTATGCCTGCTACTGAGGACTCTTAGAAATCAAAGACTTTTTACATACAAAAAGTCTTCACACTATAAGAAACTGGTATAATTATTAAACTAGGTTCTTAAATCACAAAATTGTTAACTGTCAAAATATTTAATAGTTAACATATTCTCCACAAAATATTTTAATGATCACTGTCAATATTACATGTTCTAGTTTTTATTAAAATTTAAAATCTGATCAACACAGAGCTTTAAGAAGGTATTTTAGCGAGTTACCTGAGTTGAAGTACTTTGTAAAGTCTGTTGTATCATGTGCTGGCTTGTGGTGATATGTCCTGTATTCATTCCACTTTGAATATGGCTAGCAGAAACGACTTGGCTTTGCATATTTATAGGTGTAAGTTGCTGGATATTAGAATTCCCAGAGGAAAGTTGAACGGAACCAAAATTCAATCCAGAGTTTGACTGTTGCAAAAACATCTTTGAAAATAAGGATTACATTTCAATGAAATTTCTTTAGCAGGAAGGCTCAGCTTGTTGCACAAGCCTGATAGACTGAGTTTGGTCCCTGGATCTCATGATGGAAGGAAAGAGCACAGTCCCAAAAGTTATCTTCTGATCTCTGTACATATTCTGCAGTACCTCTCCCTCTCTCTCCCCCTCCCCCCCCACACATACACACCCTTATTTTTAATTATATTTCTTGCAGGGGTGTTGGGAATCAACCTTGGGGCCTCAAGCATTTCAGGTAAACACTCTACCAATAAGCTACATTCCCAGTCTAAATAAGCTTTGTAGTTTAAAAAAAAAAAAGACCAAGGAGAACACTGAAAGAAACCAGGCAAAATGAAGCTTAACAGTCATTAGGATATTTCACGTGAACAATTAGCCATAATATGAAGGTACACACTTGCTCTTTCACTCACTCCCCACTCACCCACAAGATCAACTATGTTACTCAGTGCTCCTCAAAGGGCTGCTGGGGCAGCTTTTTGTCATCTGTCACTCAAAGTTCCAGACAGTATACAGAAGCAGCATTCACCTAGTTTCCCTTCAGCAAAGCCCTAGTTCTCTAGATGGCCCTGCTAGTAAATTAGTGAGTACAGTGTCTCAGTCAAATAATATGAATCGTATCTCTTGGTATTTTATTAAAACTATTATAAACTCTCTACCTCAAAGGTTCTATGAAACTTTTATATTATGTATTTGAACTTACTAAAATTTGGAGTTCATCAGTCTAAAAATTGATGCTGATAGCAATGTCCTTAGGAATGAGTATCTTTGGAGGCTCTATGCTATTAAACAGGTAGCCAATGTTTACTCAACTGGGGAAAATATTCCTCTTGCACCTGACTTTTCATAAAAAACAAAAAAACCCAAAAAAAACAAAAAAACAAAAAACAAAAAACAACAACAACAACAACAAAAAAAACAGGAGGCAGTTTTTAGGAACCCAAAATGTGAATGAGATTCTCTGTGCTCAGAATAAGTTACCTGAAGCCCTTGGCCATGAACCATCTGAAGCTGTTCTTGAATTTTCCTTAGCTCTTCTTGTTGCCGATGAATGTTTGCCTCTATCATCCGTGTCCGCTGCTCCAGCTGGTCTTTTAGATGCTGCATGGCTCCTAACTGAGCTGAAAACTGGAACTGAAGTGGCACATGTAAGCAAGGTATAACTCATCTTAGAATTCCTTGGTCCTAATAATTGTGCAACGTGAAAAGTAAGCAGTGCCACGAGACCAGAGTGTCAGCTCCTAAATTGCCACCTTTACTCTGCCTTGTGACACTGGAGCTGGACCTTAAACCAGTGTCTGTGTGCAGACCCATAGAAACCTGCCATAGATGCCACTGGAGGGAGACTGCAAAGGCAAGTGCTTATCTTCCTGGTGCTGGTGGTTGTCCTCTTCTGTCAGAGGTGCCAGTGGGTATTGGTAGCCACCCCCGTCCCCTTCTCATCCAGAAAGTTTCAATTTCCCAGCAGATGGCTTCCTGCCTTCTGGCCCTTTCATGGCAGCTCAGTGCACTTCTCCACCCAGTGACTCCAGCCACGAAAAGCCCATCTAGTGCAGGGGAAGAGGTGTTTAGGAGGCTGCATCAGTATGTCCTTCCTTGGCTGTTTGTCCTCTGATTTCTGTTAATGGTTGTTCTCACGTTTTTTTTTTTTTTTTTTTTTTTTTTTTTTTTAAGTTACAATTTAACTACCCAGGGAGGAGCACGTGTCACAAAATGTGTGTGTGTAGATCAGAGGACAACTTGGAGGAGTCCGTTTTCTCCCTTTACCATATAGGTCTAGAGGACAAAGCACCCTTACTCATTTGACCATCTGCTTACCCTCCTATTCTTGCATTTTTTAGATTCTTCTTTTAGTTACTAGCTAATATATTATATATTACTTCTGCTTGAATTCTGATATGCTTTTGATTTCTGACTTGATCTTGACTAATTACAAGAACAATCTGCAGTTAGATGTCAGGCATGGTGGCACACACCTTTACTCTTAGTACTTGGGAGGCAGAGGCAGGTGGATCTCTGCGAGGTTGAGGCTAGCCTGGTCTATATAGAATGTGCTAGGCAAGTCAGGCTATGCAGTGAGCCCCTTCTACCTTAAAAAAAAAGAAAGAGAGAGAGAGAGACAAAAAGAGAAAAGACAACCTGAGCTCATATTGTAGTCCAACAACTTAGTAGAACAAGTTCTTTAGTTCCTCACTTCATGTCTACACTTTACCAGGTGAGAATGTACCCAACACCTAGAGTCAATCCATAGCATATTCTGTCATCTCTAGAGTCCCATCCCAAGTTAGGCAGGAGGATCACAAGTTCAAGACCTACCTGGGATAGTAAGTTTAAGGTTAGCCTGGGCAACATTTTAAGGCCTTGTCTCAAAATATAAAGTAAAAAGAAAGGGCTTGTGAGCTCAAATATAGAGCATTTGCCTAGAATGCTCAAGATCCCAGTTCAGTTCCCAGTATTTTCCTTCTTCCCCGCAAATACAAAAATCACTTAACTACCTCTGACAAATAACCATTTCATTATGATAAAATTTTGAAAATAACTATACTACTTTTCAACTGATATATAGTTTTTTAAAGACTAAGGAATTCTAAGAAATCATGAACAAATGCACACATGAATGAAGTAAATCATTCTACATTCAGGGATTTCAATCTTCAGGATTTTATATCTAATTAACAAGCTGTTCCTACAATTTAGACACACACGATGACTCAGTGTTCATTTAATTATTTTTTCCATGAATATTGTACTACATAGTAGTAGAACATTTCACTTTATTGGAAATGTATCCTCAAAGTTTCTTGCAGTGAATTGCACCTAAAAGTGGGAAATGCACACCTTAATCTTTTATACTCTATCTTCAAAAAGGCTGTACTAAATTAATGAGTTCTTTTTAAGTTTGTGCTAAGATACTGAATATTATTACTTCTATTTATTTTTTGAAATGGGCTCAGTATGTACCCTTGACTGGATTGGAACTCTCTTTAGCAGACCAGGTTGTTTCAAACTTTTGGTAATTCTCCTGCCTCTGTCACCCAGGCATTGCACCATCATGCCTGGCTTCTTTTAAAAGCATGAAGCATTGACTTTTGAAGGTGACAACAACCAACTGGTATGATGTATTAGCTTCTAGTAGGCCTGAGAAAAATCATAAATTTAGTTCCTCAACTTTTTCATGTCTTTTAAAAATGTTAGTTAAAATATATTTATTTTTATGTCACACATACATATTTTATTGTGACTGAACTTATTGTCATGTTGTCACAATGTAAAGCATTTCTATTAAATACAAACCAAAAAATAGAAACAAGCACAGAACGCACAGGATAACAGGAAATAAACGAAAGAACAAAAAAGCAAAGTACTGAGCTTTACTCAGTCATTGAAAACACAAGAACCGAATGCATAGTAGTATTTTTGACATAGTATGTATTATTTATATATTTCATGAAAACACCTCTATAAAGATATTTACCGTGCTTACAGACAACTTTAGATTAAAGAACAAATAATTGTGAAAGTATGTCTGCATATTAAATAAAAATTCTGTCAATACTTCAAAATAAGATTTGAAGATTCAATTTGATATTTAATAATACAGTGTTGTTATAGAGCTCTTACAGGGTAGGGTTGCTAGCAATCAGTATTTAGTGCCAGATAAAACAGAAGCTTTCCCAATATATTTATTACTATTCAGTAGTGTTGTTAAGAAGAGCTCAGTTAAGAGCTCAGTGGTTAGGTTAAGAAGATACACAGCAGTGCCTTGGGAATTCATTTTCTCTTGCTAATTTCAGTATTCACACCTTTGGACTCACACCATCTCATTTCTGAACAGCTTTTCTTCACTTTTGTTGTTATTTTGGTTTTGGAGGTGAATATAGTTATGAATAACCTTGAACACCTGATTTTCATGCTCCACCTCCCACATGTTAGGATACAGGCATGTATCACCACACTTGGCACCTCACACTTGTTTAAGCTGCATTAAGGATCCAAGTCATGTGTATAAACTAAACAACATGGTATTTTAGTTATATGTCATATCCTCAAGATCAATTTAGCTTCTTAGTATAGGTATTGCAAATACTGATACATGTAACTCAATACATACATAGAACTCAATAAATGTCCCATGTGCCAACAAATGAAGTAATATGTAAATTGGTTACTCAAATCTTCCAATATCCACAGGAAGAACAAAATGAACTAGTATATTTCATGTTTAAAATGATCATACCTACAGACTGTTGCTATATGTAAGATGTTATACCACAGTAAGCAAGAAAATTATCTGTTGTGTAAGACCATCAAGAATCTTGAAAAATATATATACCTGTGATTCTGTCTAGTAAGGGTCTAGTGTAACCAAAATCATTGTAGATAACTAAAATGTCACTACATATTCTAAATATTTCCAATGAATATTTACTGAATTTATAATTATGTATATTTATATATACATATGTATAAAATCATATTTGCTTAAATGCAATTATCATTTGTAAATGCTCAACTAAAACAAACAAAAATACCTGTGACATGCCTTGTGGAATTGGTAAATTTGCAGCTTGAGACATCACTGGCTGTGTTAATGATGGACCAACAGACTGGGAGTTTATGGACTAGAAGCAAAATAAAAAATGACAATGAAGTGATGCTCATACTCATCTATGAGAACTTCCACTACACACACCAATACAATGTTATCATTCAATGACAGCCTTGTCTTTTGATGAGTATGAAGTATGACACCCTTTCCACTCTTTGTATCTTTTCTTTACCATGGCATTCAGCATAGGTCCTTGGACATACACTCAATCAGAAGTTGGGTGAACTGAAGGCAAAAGGAACTTAATAATAGCTCTCAATTAGCACTTTTTCACAATTCAAAAATGAAAATCTAGCATTTTACCTGAAAAAATGGGAAAGATTTTGAGTGCCATATTCAGCAAAAAATTTTATCCTTACTTACAGAAAGGGTATTTTAGACATCTGTGACTACATCAATGAATTGCAGAAGGGCTAAAGAGCATACCTGACTGCTGAAGGATGACCTCCGCTGTGTCATCTTTTCATGAGTTGGCAAGTGCTGTCTGGGAGGAGTGCTAGTATCAGTAGGGATCTTCGTTGGTGTTGCTGAAGTTAGCCAACAGAGAACAGAATTAGTGCTTACAAACAGTTCTGAATGGTTTATGAATAAAAATAGCTGAGTTAGTTTTCTGTTACTAGAAAAAAGTTAAGTCCAAGTCTGAAAGATTACTTCTTTTTTAGGAAAAAGAAAACATGGTAGAAAACTTTAAAAACAGTCCCTCCAGTCATCCTCAGTACCCTCAAGGGGCAGTCTTCAGAGCTCCCTGCAGGTATAAAAATCCATGCACATTAAAGTCTCTACCAAGAAATGGCACAGTATTCACTTATCACCTAGGCACATGCTTCTGTAGAATGCAAATCAACTCCAGATTACTAACACACAATACAATGGATACCTGATAAAACAGCTGTAGTATTATTTAGAAAACAATGGCAAGGAAAGAAGCCCACACATGTTCATGATAAACACATCCGAGGAGGCATTTTCTATTAACGTGGCTGTAGATAGAGGACCAACTACAATTTAAAGACAAATATCCAAGTCTTCATAAAGACAAGGCTAGAGCTAGACTCTAGCTGCTAGAGCTCAGTGGTTAACAGTCCTTATTATTACAGAGGACCAGGGTTCTTGTTCTCACCACTCACATGGAAGCTGATAACCACCCATGAACTCCAAAAGAGGGGATTCGATGCCCTCTTTTGACCTCCACAGGGACCAAGCACACACAGTACACAGATATACACGCAGACAAAACACTCATAAAAATATAATCACTTGGTTTTACAACAAATGATAGTATTTTTTCTTTTAATTTAAAAGTTAAGCAGAACATTATCATCACTTGATGACCTTAACTCTCTTCTGAAGATAATTTGCTTCTTACTAGAAAGGTCACTGTATTTTAAAACTGAAAATAAAAACAGAAATTTGAAGAAGCTCTTGACAACAGTGCTGATGGCAGCAACAAATAATTTAGAAGAGCTTTTTGAAACATAAGTTTGTTTCCTGAGGCACTTACAGGAAGGGTCTGAGACTGCTGTGTGAGATGACTTTCTTGAGCTTCTAGAAGAGGCAGATGGAGTGGGGCTGTGATCAAACCTTTCCAGTGCTTCCTTGAGACTGACTGTATTTATTCGATTGTCAGACCCAGAATCTTGGCTCTGTGGAGACAAGAGAAAATAAGTGTTATTGCTTGGTGCAGAGATCTCAACACACTTTTACAAGGGGCTGGAGACATGGCTAGTGTGTAAAGTACTTGCCTTGGAAAACGAGGCTTAGAAAGTGTGTGTGTGTGTGGGGTGTGTGTTTGTATGTTGTATGCGTGCTAGGCCAGAAAAAAAAATCCTATTTTAATATTACTAAAGTTTTACTTTATTCTCTATTTAGAAAAAATAACAAAACAATCATTAAAACTGTCACTTTATCATTTTTTAAAATGTAAATCACAGAATGAAGATGGTGTTTTATTTTATATACAAAGTACTATAAAAATCTTTGGGACTCAACATTTGCTCAAAGTCTTCAATTGTGACCTTTCTCCAGGATTTTACTATGTGGATGAACCACTGCCAATCTTTCCTTTCTTGCTACCTTTCTACAAAGTCCAATAACCTTTCCCTTTATTTACCTTAGCCACTCTGTCTCTGCCTTGTTATAGTAAACACTATAGCACCTATAAGCAGTACAAAGGGAAATGCTAATTTAAAACATGCTTCCTGTTCCTGGCTCACAGGCTCAAGGGTCTGGGGAAAACAATTGCAGGTGGCCTATGATGGTCACTAACTTCAAGTGTATGCTCAATTCTAGTCAGCAGTTATCCCAAGCCTTTCCTACTATTCCTTCATCTTTGTCTCCCCTTTTCAGCTGATAGCCTTACCTTACTCAGATAAGAACACTTACCACTACCAAAAGCAGAACCCTGCTATGGATATAGCATATAAGTCAGTGCTTTCTCCCCAATGCCACACTAAAAATAGTGTCAGTGTCCCTTTAAAGTCTTTCCACATGCAGCAGTGAACAAGAAACAACTACACATCCCTATTTCAAGGCTACATATGACTGCTAACATACATACAAATATATAATCACATAGTTACTTCATTCTGAGGTGGAGGGCATGTCACTCACTGTCTTGTCTCCTCCTCCATTATCTTGCAGCTCTCCCCAGCCTGAAGAGTCCATTTCTCATTGCTTCTTAGCCTCTGAAACCTTCCACCCACCTTCAAAGTCCATAATAAACAAATAACTCTCCATTTTCCATCTTAGCTCTGAATATTTCCTCACTCACCTGCTCTAAAAACCAGACTTCACCAGTGTCCTTGTATCTCCCACCACAAGTGGGAGTTTCTGTGTTAGGACTCTCAAGACCATAACTCCACAGGGTGAAGACATGTCCTCTCCTTAAGCTCGATCGTGTGGAGCTCACATACTATGTCACATCATTTCTTGTGGTCATATTCCAATCCTGTACTGACTTCACAACACATACCTGAATAGCATTCTAACTTCTGGCTCAGTGTTCCCCAGTATTAGTGGCCCCAAATTACCTCTACTCAAACCCAACACTGTAAACTCTCTTGTCCTTGGTGTCACCCCTACAAAATCCTCACTAGTCTTCAGCCCCTAATTCTTGGTCATACCCCAAAGCCAATTACCTCAGTTCAAACATCTTCATTTTTTACCTAAACCTGCTTCATTACCTACACATCCCTGTTAGGATCCCGATTCCAACAATCTTGTGGCTTAAGTCACACCTACATTGACACTACACCTCCCTATCAGCTTCACTTTATGTCTTCTCTCCCCTCTTTAAGAATCCTAAATTTGTGTTTGATTATTATAACAACTGTAGATGTACATTCATTACTCTAGCTCCTATCTCCTCTTATTATCATACTTCTTTGGCAAAATCCCAATTGTTAAACCACTTTTTGCTCATCCTACACAGCACAATATGGCCAAGGAAACACAGCATAGTGACTGTTCTTATTTCAAATTAATGATCATCAAACTTGTGAGGTGTGTTTGGCTGCCTGGCCCATAGAGACTGGCACTATTAGAAAGCATGGTCTTGTTGGCAGAAGCGTCACTGTGGAGGTGGGCTTTGAGATCTCATATATGCTCAAGACATACCCAGTCTCTCCCTGCTGCCTGCTGATCAAGACTGAAAAGCTCTTAGTGCCTCCAGTATCATGTCAGCCTGCATGACACCCACTATGATGATAATGGAATAAATCTCTGAAACCATAAGCCAGCCCCAAATAAATGTGTTTCTTTATGAAAGAAAGAAAGAAAGAAAGAAAGAAAGAAAGAAAGAAAGAAAGAAAGAAACTAACTAATTTGTGAGGATTCTTAATTCACCGGCAAACCAGACTGTAAATCTCCACACAGCATTCCCTTTCCTACTTCCCTTTACAACCTTGTGACATCCCCAAACCATGCTCCTTAAGCTAATTCCAGCTGGTACCTTTTGGTTCTTATTTTACTGAGAACATTGCCATAAGCTCCCACTATTCTAACAATCACTAACCCTGAATATAGCATGGCTGGGGAAATGTGATACTCTAACCACTCCTTGGTGTGTTATACTATAAACCATGAAGCAGACAAGTCTTTCCACAATACTGACTGTTCCAGAGTGAACCTTTTAGGCTTTCTTAGTCCTTGTCACCACTACTTAATTACTGCAGCACAAACACAGTCATGGAAAAAAACTATAAACAACCAAGTGTGGATTTGTTCTTCATGAGCACTACAATTTGAATCTGACACTTGTTTCATGCAGCCCTATTATTAAGACATTATTATTCTTTTGATTTTTTTCAACAACTTAAGTATATGAAATACATTTATAGTTTACGAATGTTGTGAAATCAGTCAGAAGGCCATATGTGGCCTGCAAGTCATAGATGCCAGCTTGAACAGGTGAAAGTCTGCCCCTGATTAACATTCTTTGCCCTCGTATAAGGGATCCATATCCTCAGGTATACCCCAGAAACTGCTACTTCCTTCTCCATCAGATCAGGCAGATGATATGCTGATTTCCACAGTATATAACAACAACAAAGAAACTAGATTTCAAATTCTAACTATAATTTCCTAGTCATGTGTCTTTATGGAAGGTTCCCTCTTAAAACTAGTCTCGGTATTTTCAAAGAGTGGGTTATCACCTCAGAAAAGGCTACATAAGGAGTAAATCACAGTGATTAAAGGAACATAGTCTAGCACATCAAAGTCAATTATAGTGATAGTTTTCCTCTTTAGAAGCAAACAAGATTTTAAAATAGTAAATTCAAAATAAAAATTATAAAGGATAATCAAATCTCTCACAAAATTATTAGGAAATGAAATATTTTAAAAAGAGGTTATGAGGAACATACTTTGTCAGCAGCTGTTTCAGGAAGAGATTCTTCAATGCCGAGTTCTCGTCGTCTTTCAGCCCTAACTTCTGCATAACTACAAATGGAAAGAATCAAATTTTAATGTTTGGTCACTTATTTAAAATACTGTAGAGATGCAACCAATTGGTGCTTGTTATGTATCATACTTGATCACAGTAATTCTGTACAATTTTCTATGTGATAAGCAAACCTAACACATATGTACAGTGTGCTGCCTAAATGCAATCCATATGGTTTAGGTATTCCACAAATGATCTGTAAGAGCTAAGCAAGTAACTTAGGAACTAAATGAAGGAAGGGCTATTAGCACAGTTACTCTGGTTTTGCTTTGAATGACATACACTGGCGCTTGAATGTCGGTACAACTTTTGCTACACAGCACAATATTCAAGCCTTACATACCTATGCACTACCTGTATCATATTTCCACCTATTAAGTAAGCTTAACATTCAAAAATATTACATATTAAAACTGGGAAAAGATCACTATCATTCATTAACAAACGACATATAAAATTATATTTAGGTATCACTACACCTTACAAATTTTCCAAAAGAATATTTACCTTACTACAGTGTGAGTACAAACAATGAACTCTGGCCTTGAATTCCACTGATGGTAAGTGATGTAATAGTGAGTTTGAAGCCAAATCCACTGCTGTCCTTTGGTGAGGAACCTATAATAACATGATTTGCCTTTCCCATACTGCATTACTAAAAGGAAAAAAAGAAAAACAGTATTTTTTTATTTGATAGATAGTTAGCTATGAAAAATCTGGACTTCTTTTAAACTGTCATTTTCATTTAACTCTGTATACAGATATAATTATTTTGTGGGTAACATTCAGAAGTATGTATCAGTATAAAGAGGGTTTTTTTTTTTAAGATTTTGTTTATTTATTATGTATACAACATTCTGCTTCCATGTATATCTGCACACCAGAAGATGGCACAAGATCTCATAACGGATGGTTGTGAGCCACCATATGGTTGCTGGGAATTGAACTCAGGACCTCTGGAAGAGCAGTCATTGCTCTTAACCTCTGAGCCATCTCTCCAGCCCCCTTTAAAGAGGATTTTTAAAACTAGTTTAAGGTCCCCCAAATAACCAGATCTCCCAGATCCCAACTTTACAGTCTGTTACTGCTGCTCTTATACATTTTCCTCATTCAACAGTGAATAATCACAGATATATGTGACACTTAGGGAACAACAGTGAATAATCATATGAACTGTATTTTTTCCACATACTGTCATGTATGATATATCTCTGAGGCATGTATTGTAAAGCTTTAATTAACCAAAAAAATCAGAATAACACCATTGTCTGAAATAATTAAGTGGAGTTTCTCAAACTAATTCAAATGTGAGGTTCTAAAGCATTTTTACTGATGTTAAGCAAAAACTGAGTTTTTTAGTTAAATTGATTTGGGAAACTATGTACTTCTTTAATGTATTATAAGACTTCCTTTGATTGTAAGATCAAGGCCAAGTATAAACTTGTTGCTTCTGTATGTATTTATAAAAATAGTTCTAAATCTTATCTTTGTCTCTCATTAATATAACAGAGTATCTATCTGTGTGTTTTAAAATAGTTCTCAAGAGAAACATTAAGATCTACTTACAGTGCTCATGACATTTTGCCAGATTTTCTAGGTCATCCACATGATAGTAATCATAGCCTGATGTTCCCAAAACTTCAAATGGCAAATAGCCTATTATTGGTGGTGCCCTAAATTATATAATAATAAAAATTAGTACTACAATTTTTCTACAAGAGACATTATAGCCAGAAATTAATTTGAGAAGTGGGTTTCACTTTTTCAGAAATGACTAATGAATCTTAAATCCTTATTAGAAAATTTGTCACTGAAGTCCATTAATATCCAGAATTATATAACTATCACCTTTTTTTCTTTTGTGAATTTAAAGGTGATGTTACCTGTGATCCAGAAATAGAAACTTCCATTCTAAACTGTGTCTAGATGTAAACTCTTCATTAGGTTCTTCAACAGTACACATTTCCTACAAACAAATTAATAAGTATAATTTAGAAGTAATATTCTGTATCCTTGGAGATGCAAAGTGCTCCTCTAGAGTTTGCAAAGTCCTAAGTTTGACCCTCAATGATTCTTAGTCATCTGAGACAACAGATACAGCAGTAGCAAGTGGCAGCCTCAGTCAGCAGTTACAGTCTAGTGATCCTCACTCACAGGCCTAAGATCCCACCTCTAAATCCCACCACAGTTCTCAGTGTCGGACACACCCCCAAACAAGCCAACTTCCTTACTCTCATACACACTTACACAATTCCCCATCTCATCAGTGGTCTCATTTCTGTATAAGACAGTCTAGAAATCATCACACTCTTTCATGTTCTAAGTGGCCACTACTAAATGCTTTCTTTTAATAAAGATTTGTTTTTATTTATGCATATATATGTGTATCTGTGTGGAGGCCAGATGAGGGTGCTGTAACCAACTGGTGTCAGTCACCATGCATGAGTAGGAAGTGTTCTTACACTGTGCCATCTCCCCAGTCCAGTCCTTCTAATGTTGCCTTTTATCACTTGTCTTTAGTGACTAAGTTTAAATCCTTACTGTCACTGATTCACCTCACTGCAACAGCATCTCATCAGTCTTCCCATCCTTCAATTTGTCTTCTATTCAGAGGTCAGCCATTACCATTACCTTACCAATACTCAGTATGATTATACAATTTCCTGCTTAAAACTCTTCTATGGTTTCTCATGATCAAATCTCTTCAAGGAGAAAAATCACAGAGAAAAAATTTCACACCTGGCATCTGCTTACTTTTCTGAAATAAGCTCTGACAATTCTCCCCTCATATACATGAAACCTAGATTCTGTTGTACAAAGCAACAATGTATTACAGCCTTTCTCTCCATCCTTACCCAATCTTCTCTAACAGGAGCTAGGACTTTGAAAGAAAAGTAATTGCAATCAAGTCCCACTTACTAGATGAGACATTTGGCAAGCAATGTCCTAAGCCTTAGTTTCCTTAAGTATAAAATATTATGATAGCATCTATCTCACAGGTGTAAAAATTAAATGAGATAAAGCATGCAACTGCCCTTCAATTTCCTAAGACCAAACACGAGCTGCTAACTGTTCTTTGTCTTATACTACGGTTCACCTAAACTGTAATGTTGTCCTGGCTTCTTTAGTCTTTAAAAACTGAAGTAATTCACTTTTCTACTTCCCTACTAACCATCTACTTACAGAATATAAAAAATAAAAAATTAAAATTCAAGGAGCAGGGGTTGGCGAGATGGCTCAGCACTTAAGAACACTGGCTGCTCTCCCAGAGGGCTTTGGCTCAATTTTCACCATTTACATAGTAACTCATAACTGTAACTCTAGTTTCAGGGCATACAATGCCTTTTTCTGCCCCCTCCCCCCTCTCCCTGCACCAGGCATGCACATGGTACACAAACATACATCCAGACAAAACACCCATACACATTTTTAAAAACTTAATAAAAAAATTCAAATAGCAAATTATATCTAGTAAAGCCACAGTTTTTTGTTTTGTTTTGTTTTGTTTTTCGAGACAGGGTTTCTCTGTGTAACAGTCCTAGCTGTCCTGTAGACCAGGCTGGCCTCAAACTCACAGAGATCCTTCTGCCTCTGCCTTCTGAGTGCTAGGATTAAAAGTGTGTGCCACCAACATCTACATTTTTTTTTTTAAACTTTCTTCTTTAAGAATGATAGTGAACTACACAGACTAAATTCTGCACAAAATCAGAGCAATGGTAATATACTACCATGGGATACCCGCAAAGAATACAAAAAAAGTTACAGTTAATGAGTGCATGTATCCTTCAATGTGTTAAAATACAAAGTCCGTGCATATTTAATAACTCATTAGCTATTACCACATCAGCCTTCTGAAGACAACAAAAATCTAAGAACAATCTTCCTATCATGAACTGGAATGCACTAAAGCAATTAAAATTAGAAACCTACCTTAATGAACTGAGGTGTAGCTAACCTGACAGTAGCTACAAAACAAACTCTATCTTCATAAGAAGGCCTATGTGTGCGTTGTATAGTTCCTTCAAAACCATTGTGTGCTGAAGTTGATACTAAAAAGGCAAGGAGACATGTATCATTGGTTAGTCCAGTAACATATACTTGTTACTGACACTTAAGCATCTAAGAGCTTAGAAAAATAAAAACAGCCAGCTAAAATATATGTAAAAAAAAGCATTTTAACTTACCACTGTTTAAAGATTTAAAATTTCCTATAAATCTCACATATTCATAGGTGGATGGCTCCTTTGGATCTATTGTTCCTCGAAGCATGTGACAACAGAATTCTAACTGATTTTTTGCTGAAATAAGTGATAAAAAGTTGGGTAAGTTCACAATCATTTTCTCCAACACAAGCACTACATGTCATTTTTAGTGTATCACAGTGAAGTACCTGCAGGAGATGACTGTGGCCATCACAGCCAACAGCTATTTTCTCTATTTTCATCTGTCCTCTCGTTCCACTTCTCCCTCTATTTTCACAAATATACTTCGTTCTCCTTTTAAAGCTAATAACCCCCTTTATTTAAAGCCTTTGCTTTTTCTTTTCTGTTGCTGTTGCTTTTTGGCAAGGTTTCACCCAGTAACATAGTCTGGTCTAGAATTTGTAATTCCTTTGCTTCAGGCTCCCAAATGCTAAAATTACAGCTTACTACTGTTCCTGTCTCTACCTTCAATAGCCTTTCTCGTCTTCTTTAGGACCAAAGCCTCGCCACTTGGTAGTCATCCCTTTAGCAACTGCAAATTTTCTTTGATTCCTTACTTCCAACAGTTTTAAATCTGATCAGGTCTTTGATCTCTTCAACAAAGTGTTTTTCATGCTAATCTATTTATAGCAACAGAGAACTCATTCAAATGCATTCTGGTTTCTGTGTATTCATTTAACTTCTTCACATTTCCATGGCGATTACTCTCCCAAATACTATTGGCATTTGTATTGTCAATCTCAAGTGGTTTTTCTCATTCTTTCCAGTTCATCTTAAAACTTGTTCTTCCTCATTCCCACAGCATGAATTTGCCTTCTTATATTACTGAATTCTGCTGACTGGCACTAGATACTTTCACAAAGACTTTTAGACTTGACCTTTTATAACCCTTTCTATAGTCACCGATCAATCTTAGAAGGCTCTTATCTCCTCTATCTTTCTGACCAACTCCTCATTTTATATAAAGCAGTCTCATATCATGAACATTTAACACCTTCTTCCTTTGCTCATTGCATCACACTTATACTCTCTCTTCTGCATCTGGCTCTATCACCTAACTCAACAGGTTCAAATTCTAATTATCATTACCTTTTCAAAACCTTCCCAGATTTAGTTGTAGTGGATCTACCAACTTATCAATTATGTTTTTTCTCCATCTTTACTTCTACTGCTAATTATACACTTTCCCTTTTCTGTCCCTAGTATGGTCCTTTGCAAAATTCTTAACCTTGATTTTTTCCCCTCTAACTACAAACCACCCAAAAGGTCTTCAACAGTTCACTATTGTGTAAAGAATAAAAAACTACATAGGATGAAATACTATGTTCTTAACAATTCTGCCTCATTTTTACAAACGTCACATCATTTGGACCAACTCATAGTCATTACTGCTAAAATAGCCTACTAAATTTTCTAAGCAAAGTACCTTGCAATTTAAGTCACTGACTCTGGGGAAAAGAACTCTGCTTGTGTACCACCTTGTTAGAAGGCCCTCAGCAAGCCACTGAGTTATGACTTCTTGAACGAAAGGTCTATCTTGGCAGAAGCTTTTTATGCACTTTTTTGAGCAGCCCTCTCTTCTGAGTGTCCCCGAAACTGGCTCCTTCTCCCTGTCCTCTTGGCACCTCAGAGTGCCAACTTCCTATGTCCCTCCTTTCCCTATGCATTTGCCTCAAGTAACACCTTTCGTTTTGTGACTTCAAATACTGCTTAAAGCCATATAAAGTCCAAACCAAATGTTTCTTCTAAGTACTGTATTAAAATGGTCTAATGACCAGTGTAATGCAAATACAACTATAAACAATAACATATAGTAAATTTCCACTTCTTTCTGTAACTCCTTTTGAAAGACAATCCATTCTTAACTTTCATATACATACATATGTAAGTACACACATGTTACTTCTTAATATTATAGAATCTGAAGACACAAATACAAAGAACTTTTTAAGTTGATTAATGTCACTATTACCAGATAAGATAAAATTTAAAACTGATAAGAAATGAGTAAGAAAGGGCTCTAATAGTTAATGGCCACATGAATACAATAATGTACTAAATGTAGACACACACACACACACACACACACACTTATTTACTTGGGAACTGAGCTCAGGGTCATATGTATTAATAGGCAAGCACTTCACCACTGTTACATTCGCAGACCCACACTCCTGATTTTACTCAGGGCAACTATCATGGTTTGTACATTAACTGTCTGCACAAAGGGCTCACAGCTGGTAGTGCCACTGTGAGAGGATCCAGAGACTGTAGGAAGAAGGAAGCCTGGAGGAAGCATCCCATGGCAGGTATGTCCTTAAGCCCTTCCTTCCTTTGCTTCGCAGCTGTCATGCTGTGAACAGCTGTGCTCCACCATGTCCTCCCCAGCATGCTAAGACATCTTTAAACCACAGCCTAGATAAACATGTCCCTTATCAGTGTCTAGTATAAGGGAGCACTGTGAGAAGGTAACTACCACACCAAGAATGACAACAGTGAAAGCTGCAGTCATCTGCTTGCCCAAGCAATCTACAGAAATGTCTCACTATACCAAAATACTTTGTGCTACTTGATGGCAGGGACTATTTTTCACTCTATTTGGCACTTTAAGAAAATTATATAAGCACATCCAGTAAAGATTATTTTATTAAATACTTTAAGACTTCATTTAAAAATTAAAAACATGTAGCTGATTCCCATCTTTTTATACACTACAGTTTGTGGCGTAATCGTGAATAATTTCTTATAACAAAATAGATGAGATGTCAATATACAATGGAACAGATCTGGTATCTTAAAATGAACACAATCCTTTTAGTCGTGTATATATACAAACATTTTAAAAGCACTTAATAGAGTTCAATGAATAGTGCTATTCTAATTTAGTTAAACACTGTGTCTTTCATAAACTTACAAAGTGCTGGGCGTTGGTGCCGCACGCCTTTAATCCCAGCACTCAGGAGGCAGAGGCAGGCGGATCTCTGTGAGTTTGAGGCCAGCCTGGTCTCCAGAGCAAGTGCCAGGATAGGCTCCAAAGCTATACAGAGAAACCCTGTCTCGAAAAACCAAACCAAATAAAATAAAATAAACTTACAAAGTAAACAATAATGATGCCAAATGTAAGATCTGAGTGTCTGCTTAGGAGGGCCTACTCACATTTTAAGTACTCAGGGGTTAGTGAGTCACTTTCCAGCAGATGAGTAGAGAGTATCTTATAAACCTCTGAATGTTCTCCCTCGGGGATAAAATTAAATATACTTTGATCCACAAGATCAGACTGAAAAATAAAAAAATTTAAAATTATAAAACAGTACTTTGAGAGGCACTTATCTCTAACACATTTAAAAGATATTAAATAACATAGGTGCATATAATTAGTATTCAATTACCCATGAAAATCAATAATGTCAAGCTACAAACTCCATATTTAAAAAATGAAATTGAGAAGCTGCAGAAGGCTAACATACCAGAGTCATCAGATCCATAACTGATGTGATCCTAAAACCAGATACATCATTTGAAAATCTTATATTGTAAAACATTGTATTATAAAATACAATGGGTGTGAGAAGTTAAAATAATTGGCTCTAAGACACAGCCTTGTTATTTAATCAAACACCTGTTAATTAGTGGCGTTATACATGAATACACAGAAACAGTGACAAGCTAAATGAAGAGATTTGACACTACTATCATTGCAATGGTCCTTTGCAATGTCCTTTAATTTTATTTCATCTTTTCCAGGCATTTATTCTAGATCACGTTGCCAAAAGCCTTGCCTAAAATGGACAGCCAGCATGTAAAACATTCTAATTCTTTTTGCTTGCTAATATAATATGTGCCTTTACTCATTATCTAATAATTAACAGTAGTCTGACAAATATTAGGAAACCTACAACAGGTGATATTGTGGACTCAAAGATGAATATGAAAGTTCCTATCTTTAAGTATCAACGACAGTAAAACCTCAGCAACTTCACTTTCTACTGAGTCCAGCCCATCCTATTGGATTTCTCACTTTTTAAACTTTTTTAAACTTTTCTAATTCTAGAAACAAGGTAGTGATAGCTCAAGGATCTGGGAAGTAAAAGAAGCTGTGGTGGCAAAACAGTTGTACTTTCATTTTGTTGTATTTTATAGACCTATAATGATCACATCTGAACAGCTCTACTGCTTAAAACAAAATAGTAAGAATAAAAGAAAATCATGGGAGAAAAGGAGGGATGATTTACTACTCCCCATATATACACGTGGTTTCTTATGGCTTTTCTCTAGTGATCAAAGTCTTCTCTATAGCTTTAGTAAACTCCACATCTCCAGCTCACATCTTTCAAAGACCAATTCAATTTACTCCCTTCACGAAAGCATGCTAGTGAGGTTATACATTTTATAGGAGAATCTACTAAAACCATTTTAGCAGACTACCATAATTCTTAACTGAATTCTAAAGTTATCCTTATACACACAAATAAGTGTAGCTCTCCCACTAAAAAAGTATCTCTTTGCAGCAGCAGACAGAGACCATTAAAAAAACAGCTGGTCAAAATGCAGAGAATAAGGGCTAGAGAGATGGCTCAGAATAAAGAGTACTGGCTGTTCTTCCAGAGGTCCTGAGTTCAATTCCCAGCAACCACATGATGGCTCACAACCATCCATAATGAGATCTGGTGCCCTGCAGGGACCCATGCAGACAAGAACACTGTATACATAATAAATAAATCTTAAAAAAAAATGCAGAGAACAATCCACTGTGGTATGCCTAACCCCAATAGATACATCTACAACACAATCCCTGACCTAAGGCTCAGGGAACACCTCAGAAGAAGCAGCAGAAAGATTTTGAGAGTGAGGACTAGGAAGTCTCCTAGAAATGACAAGATCTGTACAATGACACCAATGGACACGCTGATATGGGTGGGGGAAATCTCATAAAGCCCTACCTCTAAAAAAAGAACTCTTAAGCCATTAATGACTACTGAGAGAGTGAGAATTGGTCTTTCACAGGAATCAGGCCAATAACTGGCATCCAATACCAAATGTTCAGCCCTAAAATCATATATACATTAGCAACACCAAAGTGTATATGTATATTTATATGTATATGTACATGTGTTTAACAAAAATCAAAGAAAAAGAAGCCATCAATTTGAAATGAAGTAAGCGGGGACACGAGAAGGAATAAACGGAGGAAGGGAAGGCAGAATGATGTATTTTTATTTAAAACATTTTAAAAAAAATTCACTTCCTTCAAAACAGCATACCCCAAACCACAACTACAAATTCCTAAGTACAGGTATGGACACCATGTATGTGCACTTTTAACGGGTGTGTGTGCATGTCTGAGTATGAACATCATGTGTGTGCACTGCCAAATCCCCTAGAATGGTGAGCTGCCTGATGTGAATTTTGGAAACTAAACCCAGGTCCTCTGCAAGAACAGCAAGTGTTCTTACTAATTAGCCATTTCTCAGGGCCCTAGGAAACATTTTAAAAGGAGTTATTATGATAGCCAACTACTTAATTCATTTTTATTCACCCAATAAATAATTACTGAGTAGCTCTAAAAACCAACCAGTATTCTTATGAATAAAGAGATAAAAATTGCTGGCTTTAGCATCATACAACTACCCTAACTGTAAAATAAATAAATAACAGTAGAACAGTTAATTTCAAGAGGTAGAATATATATAGTTAACAAAAAGAGAAGACCTTTAATTTTGCAGGGAATCTAAAGGTAGTGCCAAGAAGCAGGATATAAAAAAGTGTGAACAAAAGCAAATGATGCTTTGTTACTAAGAAAAAGTCATATCCTTTCTGTAAATGTAAAACTGAAAAAATATAACTATATATGACAAAAACCAAATACCTTCTCATTTTCAATTAGTCATATCTTAATCTTATAAAAGGATTCATTCCTTGGGTTTTCCTGTTCTTTTGTTATACTGTACTTTACTGCTGTTGTTTTTGAAGAGCTGGGGAGGGAAACACAGAGCTATCTGTATGCCAGGCAAGTGATCTACCAATGAACCACCTCCCAGGCTCCTAGTACTCCCTCCCCAGCTTATGAGGTTTTCTTACCATGCAAATAAATCCCCCCTCCCAAGGAAGAAAAATGTAATTTATTCTAAAGTCAAATTTAGGTGATAATGGCCCTCGAATGTAGATTTAGTTTTTCCCAAGTTCTCTGTTTCAACATTGAATCAGTTTTTATGGAGTTTTTTGGAATCAGAACAAAGAATAAAGCAGGGTATCTTTAAAAATACATTGGTGGATGTAGTTATATTTTAATTAAAAATGGACTAAAACCATCAGACATGGGCAAGCCCAGCAAAGAATTCTCAACTATGGACCTCTGGTATTATTTGATAGCATCCTTAGCCCATTGGTCAGTGGAGAGTAATGTTTCATGAAGTCAGCAAATTCCAAACATTTTGGCTGAGTGTTTAAGAGCAAATAATTTTTAGAGGGGATTAACCAGAAATATCTGATCTCTCTGTTCATGCCAATTGACTTATATGTTACTGCAGTCTCATGTTTGATTTCAAATAATTTCTTAGATTTGGGCTTTATTTGAACTTTTCAGAGTAAAGTCAAGCCACTTCTAGAAACTAGCACATAGGGCTATAGAAATGGCTTAGCAGTTAGTTAAGAGCACTTACTGCTCTTCCAGAGTTCACACCTGAGTTCAGTTCCCACTACCCACACCAGGCAGCTCACAACCACTCTTATAACTCCAGCTCCTGGGATCTGACACCTTCTTCTGCCTATGTGGGCACCTATAGGTAAATAACATATAAACACACAGACACATATATACATCAATAAAAATTAAAATTAAGATGAGTACAATGTTTACTGTCTGACTTTCAGTAAAAAGTTGCCCTTGTACAGCCTGGCATTTTAAAGTGTAGAGTCCTTCCTCTGCACAAGGTATTAAGTAGCAGAGAAACCAGATGGGAAGAAATGCTGCTTTGTTTTTTAAAAAGTTATTATTTACAGATTTGTTTATATTGCATTGTTGTAAATTTTCAAGTAATGGGCATTTCAAGAGTAATTTAAAAATATTAGAAATTTTATATCACAAGCCCATATTAAGTACATGTTATATAAAAATTTCAAGTACATTTCCAAAACCATTAACTGTAGGTAGCACTTAGCCTAGAGTTCAATATAGAATAAATGTTCAATAAATACAGGTTGAGTAAAGCAAACACACAATTAAGGTAGTCACCATGTCAATCAAAATTATTCAATGTACTTTAATTTTTCACTATTTTTTCTTTATGGCTGAGGAAGAAGAGGAAGCAGAGGAAGCCCTCAACTTGTGAAACCCTACAGAAACATGTATTTTGATGTGGGCATGGCCTGTAGAGAACTCCATGAGCAACTGGCCCATGAGAAACATCAAAAATCTGTTACTCTGATGGGCCAGGCTCAAGAGGAATGACAGTTTTCCCTGGAGTCTGGGTGTTTACAAAGGATGGATCCATGTCTGCAAAGACTAGCAACTTCATCTTCCTGCTTCTGGATGTTTACAGCCTGAGACTGATGGCTCCACCACAGAGATCAATCAAGACTAGCTAACTGTTCTCCTTGTACTATCTGCACCTAATAAACACCATGGAACTCACTGTCCATGTTCATACAACTGTCCTTCCTCCATCACCCTACTGCTCCTAGTTAGGGTCTAACAGTGCAAGGTCTGAGTTATGGAGGCAGAGTCCCACACAATCCCACACTCACTGTCCATGTTCATACATCTGTCCTTCCTCCATCACCCTACTGCTCCTAGTTAGGGTCTAACAGTGCACCTTTTTGATGACGTATTTTAAAATGGAATATGGTCATTATTACATTACCAGTCCAACTCACATTGCATACAAGTTCTGCACCTCCTATTTTTATTTTTTATTATCTTTTGAGAAAATTATTTGTGAGCTATTCTCATAGCAATAAGTATTTTCAGTAGAAATTTGGTTGGAAGTTTTTTGTTTGTTTGATATAGTATTTTCATTAGGCTAAAAGGAAAACATTGCAAAATTAGCATTAGAATGCAAAGGGAAGGACAACAGAGGCTAAAGTACTGGGTACTATGAATGAGGGCTGTATGACTGGTCTGAGAAAATAAAGCAATGCTAATACAAATACATACCTGGGCTTTTTATCCCAATCACTTAACCACTGTTTAAATATTACTATAAGGGTCTACTTTCTACTGCATTCTTTTAATGTAGGTATTAAATAATACAGAGATTATAGGGTTTTCATACTTACTGGTAAATGTTCAAGTAATGAAGTTACACTCTCAGATACATATATTATACTTCCATCTGTCATGATCGCTAAAAAAAAACCATCAAGAGCCTGAAATTAAACATAATGGTCAGTTAAGGGAAAAGGAAAAAGCATTTTACTGGACAGAAACAAGAAAAATGACAAAGGACTTGTTGTGGAAATCTTTACAGTGCAGTCAAAATGGCAGCTATTTTGCTTTCAGTACCTTAATATATTAATTTTTGCGTGTCTTCAGATGTTTCTGAGGGAAAAATATCACTATGGCGAACTACTGCAAGCTGGTTTCTACAGGTAAGAAATCAATGTTTGCCTTTATAGCTGCATACATAATACACTGCATGATACACTATGTGGTACAATGAGAAGAACAGAATAAAGGGAGAAGAAGAAACTAAGCATCCTCAAACTAAGCTGAGGCACAAACATGTAAAGCCCAAACATTTGGTAAAGGTATCTTCATTATATATCTAAAAGGAAGCCAACAGAAGACTTTGTATGGGTGGGAGGCTGTGTTTCAATACTAGTAGTCTTGAAGAAATATATGACAGACAATTGAATCAAGAAAACATGTCTTGGGATAATTGAGAAATTAACGACACTGAATGAAATTAGTAGAAATAGGAAAAGAGAAGATTAACCAAGTGCTAAGAAATACAAACATCTTCAGGAGATATGTTAGAGAAGATACAAGACTCAGCATGCTTTTATTTGATAACCACAGGAACAGTAGTGACCTTCAATAAAGAAACAGACCAAAGATAAAGCTTGGAAGAATCACTGAAATATGAGTTTGAAGAGAAAGAAAAGAGCCTGAGAAACAGTAGGGTAAGAATATGGTGTGGAAAGAGCTCGACAAGGAAGACGGATGGTACAGTGATATCACATAGGTCAAGGAAAAAGAAAATGAGCAAATTTAGTGATTTTCAAAGAGCAACATCAACAGGAAGGCAAGTCAATCATAACAAAACAAGTTGACAAGAGGTTATTGTAACTCATTCATAAACCTGGCAAGAAAATAAGGGAGGAAGGACAATTATTTAAAGGGCTTATATACCAAAGGAACACACTGAAAACCAAAAGAATAAAGCAAATAGTGACAAGTATATTTGTAAGTTAAAGGAGAGAAAGATTACTAGTGGGGAAGTTGAATGTTATTTAGTTAAAAAGCTCTCTCAAAGGGTTACTACCTCTGGTAGGAATGTTATCGTAATCCCTGTGTCTGGGCACAGAAGAAATACTTGGTACAAGTGAAAAGTTTGATAGTAAATAAAGGATGAGATTAGGAGTGAAGAAAACCACTATTAGATGGGTTTTATTTTTGCTATTTTGGTGTGTGTGTGTAGGGGATGAGGGTGTCTCGAGACAGCTTCCATAACTCACATTGACCTTGAACTCAGGTAAGCCACTATGCCCAATTTATTATTATTACTGTTGTTTGCAGTGCTAGGAAATGAATGCAAGGCCTAGGCAAGTGCCCTACCATGACACTATATTCCCAGTCTCTACCTGTTGAAGGTACAGAAAAGGTACCCTTCTCCACCTCTCTCCTCCTAGGGGAGAAATATGGGTCTCAGAGAAAACTCATTTTAAATAGTTTCCTATTTCCTAGAACAACCCAAATAAATGTATTTTTAGATAATGAGGAAGCTTGAAATCTTTAATTTATGGCAACTCTTGCAGTATCTCCCATTATGATTTAGTCAGTAATTATCTGATTGCCACTGTAAATAGAGTCAAATTGGTGTAAAGAAACCTATGCTTTCTCATGTGAAAACACTGTCAGGGTTGAAAGCAAGTAATCTTTCACTGCGATGGTGAGTTCACACTGTGAAGACACTGCTAGGAACTACGGGTTTCTTTCTGAAGAGAAAGGAATGAAATAAGGGCACTTAATCATTTAGCCCCACTCCTAGAGATAAAGCCTGTTCTTTCCTCTTGCAGAGAAAAGTTTCAACATTTTGCCAAGTCATGAAAATCTTTTGAGTAGAGGAATAAAATTTCTTTGAGAAGGGTAATTAGAGAAATGTGCAGGAATAAGGCAGAGAACATCCCCATGTCATGATGGCCAACTGTGAATAATCCCTGTCCTCTTACTGTATGAATAAAGGAAAACTATTCATTACTTAGAACACCCTGCCTTTAATCTGGATATCTCCTTGGTAACAGTGATTATTTAGTTTGTGCAAGATTAGAATGTCAGTTCTAGGGAAGGGGACAGAAATTCCTTGTGGATCTTCAGCAAAGACTATGAGCCCTTGTCTTGTAGACTGTAAGGAAGACTATGAGCTGCTGAGAGAAAAACAGTGTATAATCAGAGATGACCTTAACGAGATGACTTTGTTCTGTCATGCAGTAAATTACTCAAGCAATAGATTGGGGGAGGGGGACGCACAGGTACATTCAAAGAATAAACAGAGGCATTATGCCATTAGTTAGCTTTGGGGGGGGCGGCGGTAAATAAGCTTCAACTTCTCTGGGCATAGTCAGTAATGAAGAAGCTCAGCTAAATGATCTAAAGCTCCTGTACCAGCAACACCAGCATGTTAAGTAGATGGTCTAAGCTGCTGTACCTGCAATGCTAACATGCTAAGTATACAGACTAAGCTCTTGTACCAGTAATGCTAACATGTTAAGATAGTCTAAATCTGAATTCAGCTGAAGACAGGCAGGACCTAATACTCAGCTACAATTTAATCAACATGATAATCTAAGAGTAACATAATTACAATCATAGTCTTGCCAGTCAGATAAACCTTACCCAAACAAAATCAGACTATTTTATGAACAAATCCAATTCTAAGTTTATGGTTAAAATCTTCATATTCAATCAGAAAACTGAAGATATGAAGCATGCAAAATCACGTGTGCAAACATCTGGATAAAGGATATAAGATACACACCTGTATACATACCCTTTACCTTGGCCTATTACTTTTTAAAAATATATTTACTCAGTACATACAAAAACTTTAAAATATCTGTGCTACCAATATAGCTCAGTGGGTAAAAGTGCCTGCTGTCAGGTCTGGCAACTTGAGTCTGATCTTTATAATCCACCTGGTAAAAGTAGAGAACCAACTCCCACAAGTTGTCCTCTGCCTTCCACATATGCCCTGGGGCAAAAATGTAACCCCAGACATATAAATAAACAAATAAATGTATTCTTTACATATTAAAGATAGACACTGTTCAGTTATGTGAATCTAAAATCATAAAGAACTTACATTTTCAAGTTTTTAATATATTTTCTATTTTTATAATGTCATATCACTAGAATTTTTAGTTTATTTATAAAAGCTTCCTATTATGAAGAAAAAACTGAAGGTAAAACTTTCCTACTTAGCCTATTAGTAAAGCAGGTGCACTAAGATTATTAATAAAATACATTTTGAATTATAGAAACATTTCATGTCAATAAAAGTAAGCAGTTTATAATGAACACAAAATCTTATTGAATGAAAAACTGCAATAGGATTATAAAATAATGATGAATAAGTCATATTCTTTTTTGTTATAGAGACTGTCTTGTGTGTATCCTTTCACAAACATAAATTTAAAGAGACACTTCCAATGTCAAACTTCTTTTAAGAGGAAAAATACAAGTAAATTATGACTGTTCCTTGAGTTGTATGTCAACTGTACACTAACTTAATAAGCTAACTGCTCATTTCGACCTTCTGCACATAATGGTGACTGAGGTCATGGCACATTGCAGAAGAAGCACTGTCGAGCTATGTGACATGGGCAAGTTTCCCGACAACTCTGCTCCTTGACTTCCTTATCCACCTATTTATTTTAAATCCTAGTCGCAGCCTTCCCTCACCATCCTTCCCTCCCAGTCCCTCTCTCCCACCACTACCCCCCACCAAAAATAAATCTCCTCCTCTCCTGTTTTCAACTAGGAAAGGGCAGGTCTCCTATGACTATCAGTAAAACATGGCATATCAAGTTGCAGTAAGACTTCAGTACCTCCCCAGGTATTAAGGCTAAGCAAGGCAACCCAGTATGAGAATTAGGGTGACAGAAGCCATGTAAAGGAGTCAGAGACAGCCCCTGTTTCCACTTCAAATACCTTCTTAAAGTGGGTCTGGGAACTGGATGAGTTAACTGGAGAAAAGCACCCTTCAGTTTTAGGCTTAAATGCTTATTTGCTACACTTATACTCTAACAAATTTTAATAATTTCTGGTAAATTATAGAGTTCACTAAATGTTACACTCCAAAGTATAATCAAACAAAAAGCGCTCTTAATGAAAAATGTTCTACCTTGCTTCAGACCCTAGAAACATCATGACACAGATTCACCTCTTACATATATTATTTCTGCACATGCTGCCCAGGCTAACCACAATACCCCATGATCCACCCCAATCACTTTGCGTGGCCAGGCACACCTGTAGCCAGCCTCCAGCAGGCATGGTTACAGTGTCCCCTACACTGTACCCTCTTGAGTACTGGGGTTAGTACTTTTATGCTCTTTCTTATCACTGTTACCTACAAAGTAAACTACCATTTGCTATTTTAAGTTTTCATGAAACTTGATACTAAATTCTGACTAGTTTCTGTACATAAATGATAACTTCATGATTCTATGCAGGAAAAGATAAAAGGGTAGAACAGTAAAAGCTACTAGGTATAAATGTTCAAAAATTTATATATGTTATTTAACTGATTGGGAGATGTTAAGTTTTACATACAAGCTAAAGCTATCCTAAATTATTTTTAAAAGCAATTCTATAATAAAGGAACACCTGCTCACTTCCTTTTAAAAGTTTCTATTTACAGAATGATTACCTTTTGGTAATTTTCACTTGAAAAATACATGATTTATTACCATTTGTGGTCATTTTAGGTAGATGTCTAATAGGACTAAACGCTATGTCCTACAAAATTTCTGGTGAAACCTCATTTTCCATTTTGTTGTATTGGGGGGGGTGGCTAGGAGGTGATTAAGTGATAAAGATGAAGCCCCCAAAATGAAATTAGTGTCCCCATAAAAGAGTCCTTGAGAGCTCCTGCACATCATGTCATCCATGAACTAGACTGAAGAGCTCTCACTACATAGTAAGCCCGCTGGGGCCTCCTTCCTGGACTACAGAAAATAAACTTCTGTTGTTCTAGCTCTACAATCCATGCTATTACAGCACGGTAGTTCAGCTGGCATAAAGCAGACACAACAGATAATAGTGTTTGATGTGATAACACATGCTATGCTTTGTTAGAACGTAGTGGGCAGTCTCAGCTTGAAGACTCAGTAGCTATAGGTTTCTGAATTGTATGAAAGCACCTCAAAATTTCAAATGACCAAAATAGGAGAACCTGATATTACTCTACCACATGGCATTATCTTCTTACAATACTTGATCAATACAATGATCAATAACAATGATACACAAACAGAGCTTATTACATTGACACTGAAAGAGTTTTCGATGTTAATACTGCTAACACTATACTAAAATTAATCACTGTTAAAATTTTAGAAAAATAAAACTTTCAAAAATCAAATCTGGACATACCTCTAACATTAATTGTGTAAACTCTTCATTACTAAGGAATGTAGGTTTCCAGTCCTGTCGAATTTCACTAGCATCTGACTGTGCAGTGATTTCTGTAAACAGATCGACACATTAGTGGCATACTCTAACCACTGGGAGAGCACAAAATCCTACAAGTTGCCTTTCTCTTCCTACTCAATGATAAGAATAGGCAATATTTACTGATCTACCTAACAGGAGGCCAGGGTTTGAAAAATGTGAAATGTTATCTAGAACTTGGTCTGGATAATTTAGAATCAATTTCTTTGGAGTTTATACTGGAGGAAGATTGTATGGCTTTGATTTGTTTTATAGCTGATAGACCTAAGCCTATTTCCAACTTAACATAATTAGTAATAACAACAAGCCGAATAAAAGATTATTGCAAACATTTTGAAGACATTTTTTTTAGCTCATCTTTTCCTTGCCGTTCAAATGGTACTATCTCAAGTGGAGATAAGGAAGTCATCACCAATGGGGTCAGTCAGCCAGTCTGTTTTCAACAAAAAGGATCTATTTTTGCCAGGCAAAAAGATTCCTCCTAATCTTTAGGAGGAATTAGGAGACCAAATGAGGATTTGGGGCCAGAATTTCACAGTAACATTCCTTAGAGGGGGAATGCTCAGTATCTTCTTAATGTTCCTAATGACATGGAGCTTGGCAAACCTCTGGGGTCTCGGGCATTACTCCTTCATTTTGCTACAGCAAACAAATGAATTATACGAATGTTATCATAAATAATGAAACCTGAGCTATTTGCTGTTTAACAAATATGTTTTCTTTTCTAACAAGGTATTACTATGTATTTCAGGCTGGCTTCAAACTTACGACCCTCCTGCATTGGCTTCCAAAGGCTACATAGGCAAGCACCACCACACCACATTTTTTTTCCATTTTAAATGTAGACATACTACAACAACCACACAAATTAAAATTAACATGATAGGCTGTACACTACCTTACTTTATAGTGAAAAATATGAATTATATTATTTTAATATTTTGTTACCAGATATTTAAATATATATTTACATACCAAATTTGACTATTACAAATGACCACACTAATCTATGACAGGTAACTAAAAAGTATAGCTACTAATTCTGTGAAAAACAGTCATGCTCTTTAAATGGTTGTTATTACATACACAATTATATACACAAATTAGTAAGTTTAGTTAATACAGGTCTATGTTAGATAAATAAATACTTTAAAAATTTCCCTGAAATTTACCACAAATTTCATTTTTGTGAGAATTGTAAATTCAATTTTGGGGAAAAATTTAATACCAAAATTAATGTTCTATTGTCAGGTGGTGGAAATGTATTCATTTCCCTTGATTTCATTCAACAATCATTTACTGACTGCTACAATGTTTAAGGGACTGATTTAGTGTGCCATGAATACAAAGGGAGCTCAAGTCAGTAAGGACACTATTTACAAAGAGGCTCAATGTTAAGTGATTGACACATTTACAAAAGACTCAGAAGAGAATGCAAACATGTGCAATATGATGCTAAGATAAATAAAAATATGTTTGAGCCCTGGAAACCTAATCAAATGGTATAAAAGTGGAAAAAGCCAGTTTAGGAGAAACTGACCTGACAAAATGAAAATGAATTCTCTTTTAGAGGAACTGAGTTTGGAGACATGGAAAGTGGGATCTGTAAGTCAGCTAGAATACAAGGATGAAAATTCTGCATCTGAAAACAAAGATTCATTAGTATCTTAATACAGATGCACAGCAGCTACAGTTATACCATGAGTTATCCACAGGAAAGAGGGTTGAGAAAATAAGATCACAAGGACAGCCTTGAGAAACATCCATTTAGAGAGCAGAGAAGGGAAGAAGAGAGAGGGCCAGACAGAAGGGGAAGCAGCAGCATACTATGGAAGCCATGGGAGAAGAAAGTCAGTAGCAGGCAGATCAAGATCACCAGTTCTAACTCTACAGAGAGTAAAGAAGAAGAAAAAACCTTGGCTCTATTGGGGATGGGTGGGTAATGTCAGTAATGAAAACATTTCAGAGAGTAGTGGCCCACAAACCAGTCTAGCAATGAATTACAAAGGGTGGTAAAGAAAACAAAACAGAGGTAGTAGTTAGCATCTGCCTTCCTAAGAAGTTCTACAATTTTACTTTATCTGAAAAACCAATTAACCTTTTCTAGTTTTTACAGTTTAGTATCTCCACTACCTATATAACAAACACTTTAAAAGTTTTTTTTCCCATAAGTGATTTAGTCAAGGTGATTTTCTTGTATTAACAAATATTTTTAAGTGTAGTGTTTTATTTTCTAGACATACAGTGAAATGGCCTGGAACAGCCTTAGGTGACCTTACCCTCAGGCACGCCTACAACCTTCCAACACAAACATGCTCAGTGACAATCAAACCTCCCGGCTTTTCCACTTTTGCACACAGTATCTCCTTTGTGTAAAGCACTTACTTAATGTAAGAGTTATTTTTTTTAAGAAATTACCTATTTGTAAACTTTAAAGCATTCTTTCCTTTATGATTAAAAAAATATGACAAAATGTGCTTCCCAAACTTACAGTTTACAAAAACTATTCATTTGAATTTTAATTATGTGTTTACACATTTGTCTTCCCTTGCTTAAGCTGAGAGCCAAGAAAGTCATCCTAACTTCATAAGGACCTAGAATATAGAAACCATTAAATGCTTGTTGAATGAAAGAAAGAACATGCTAGGAATCTTTTTTTTTTTTTTTAAATCTTAAACATCATATAATTCATGTTCTAAGGGAGAGTTTGCTATAAAAACCATGTCCATTTTACAAAGTCAGTAGTTTACCTTTATGTTTGCGTAAAAAGTCAATGCTCTTCTGCAGAACAGTGGACTTGTCCATTTTTCTAGCGTTACCAGGAAGCATAGATCCCAGCTCTTTAATGAGAACATTGAATTGATCTCTACGTTTCTTTTCAGATTTGTTTCTAGATACTCTATGAAAAAAGAAATTAAATATGTAGTTTTTAAGTAATTGATGTTAATTACACAAATAGTTTAATACATACAGTGTTCAATTAGGACATGACATATTATATTACGCTTACTTTTCAAAAGGTCAGTAAATAATTTAATTTATAAACTGCATACTGATAGTCTAAGCTTGTGGGTATTATACATTTAGTTACTATTTTCTATTTCACAACTAACTACCTTTTTGCTTTGTCCTTGTCATCTTCTTCCACCAATCCATCAAAAATACTACTGTCATCTCTACAAGAGAACAAAGTGAAAGGCTGAGGAAGAAGAACTCAGTAAGCAGCACCATCAAAGCACAGTGAATGCACTCACCTGTTTCCAAGGTGACGAGATCAAGTAAATACAAGCTCAGGAACCACTAACTTATTCTCTAATAAAGTTTAATTACATTTAATTATATTTTAAGTTTTTCACATGTGAATTTCAAAAACAGTTTACACACACACACACACACACACAGCTATATTTATGTATCAGGCTAAACAAGAATTTATCTAGTTTAAATACCCTATTTCAAAATTTTAATACCTACTGAAAACCTATCAAATGCCTGTATGAAATTATGTCAGTATTAAACTACCCACCTGGAATTATATTAACTATAATATCATAACTTAAAAACCTTTTGAAATAGTCACTTTAAAAACATCACTATTCATAAATGTCACAAAAACTAACTCATAAACTTACTATTTTTGACCCATTTAACAGATTAGTACTCAGGTATCAGGTTGTATCCTGGATGTTACAGAACAATTATCAGGACTAACAGCTACTCTCTTCTAGTTTATCTTCTAGTAGAAAGAAAAACACATGAAATGTCTAATTTTTTAAAGGAGCCATGGTGTGGTGGTTTGAATAAGACTGACCCCCCAATAGCTCATGTACTTGAATGCTTCGTCTTCAGATGGTAGAATTGTTTGCTGAAGATTAGGAGTTGTGGCCATTTTAGAGGATATGTGTCCCTGGGGGTGGGCACTGAGCTTACAAAAGCCCATGCCATTCTTAGTTAGGTCACTCTCATTCTTTCTCTCCCTCCAACCCCCATGGTTGTTATATTAACATGGAAGCTTTCGGCTAGTGTTTCAGTGAGATGCCTGCCCACCTACTGTCATGTTCCCTGCTATGATAGTCATTGTCTATACTACCCTCTAGAACCATAAGTCCCAAATTAAATGCTTATAAGTTGCCTTGGTCATGGTGCTTTGACACGGCAACAGAAAATTCTGGGTGACTGCTTTAGCCTGAGTGGTTAGGGAAGGACTTGTAAAATTGGTGTACATTGAGTAAGGATTTAAGTAACAAGATGGGGACAGCTTGAGACCTAGGGCAAAGTCTAACAAATTACATCAAGAGCACTAGAAGTTGACTCTTAAAACTAAGGAGTGATATCATTTCTGATGGTTGGTGAAGCTTTGACATGAATTCACCAGTCACACCATCCAGCGAAATCCTTCTGTGCCTGTGAAGATCAACAGTCTTTGAGGTGTCTATTAGCCTCACTCTGAGATTGGTTGTAAATTGTGCTTTATGGAGGCTCATGAATAGACTTGAAGGAGTCCATTTATGCCTAGAAACTTGTTTTAAAACTCCTACATATATATACATTTTTCTGATGAGGATGTCTATAAATTTTACAATATTCAGATATAAGGAATCCATAGTAATAATTGCTGCTTTATCTCTGAACACACAGATGTCATCCCAAATGTCCCAAGGAGTAGAAAAAGAATTGTACAACCACTCATCTGCAATCCTTTTAGATGACTGGCATGTCTTTTCAAGGAGGAGACTACTCCTATAATCCAAAGCTATGGCCATAGTGAAGGCAAACCTCTCTAAGGATATTGCTTGCCCTTGGTCTTATGTGCTAATACAAGATGTATCTTTGTTTTTAGTTCAAAAAAGAAGAAAAACTGCCTTCAGATAATGACAGCCACTCTGTGTACAACTCTATTTGCAAAATCCTTAAAGAACTGGAGTCATTATACAGTGAATTATATGTAACCATAATTGAACAAGCTGGTTAATTTCTGACCTCTATCTATAAAACCCTGAGGATCTAGGCAATTCAATGAAATAAGATAAAAGATTCTGTTCACCAGCTCTAGACACTATTCGTGTTAAAATGAAAACAACAACTATAATACAACAACCTTAAGAGTCTTAGAAACAAGGCTGGAGAGGAAGTTCAGAGGTGAAGTACTTGACTAGTATACATTAGGCCTTCGTTGACATCCCAGCACTGCTGCCCCCCCCCCAAAAAAAAGAAAAAGTTTTTTACAGTCAAAGAAATAAACAATCAAGTTTATCTTTTCCCCAAGACTCATATACAAAGATTAAAAACTAAGTAATGAACTAAAGATCCTAATTATAGTTATGTATTATCAGTCACAAGTGCTAAGATGATCGCAGAGATAGAGGTAGCATCAACAGACTCCACCCAAGAGTCTAAAGGGAATCATTCACAAACATTACTGTTTCCTTCAGAACAGTTGACTAAAACTGGCAAAATTAAGAATACTCATTTGCAACATAGGACGTAAGATATTCACTTTGGCTTTTAAAACTACTAATGTTTGTCATTTATTATTTATTTGTTCTATGTAGAAATTGATTACAATGGCAATCATGTTTAAGCATAACACACCTATCAAGCTGATATAGAGCATTATTCTAATAGTGACTTTAAAACATACCTGTCAACAATTGAGCTCATTGTACTACAGCTTACGGTAAACAACATAACACATTACGTTTTCGTCTTGTGGTAGACATTTGTACTTCTCCTTGGGAGAAAAGAAAAAAAGAAATGGTTATGCATGTTCTATAACACTTATACAAAGTAATCTTGAGAATACTGTAGGTTACTATGCATAATTCAAATGAAGGTGGTGCATTATTTTCAAGCAAATTATCTTTGGATGGGGAATATTTGAGGCTTTTATCTTGTAAAAGGAATATGGAAAAATTCAAATTCATAATTAATGTATTTCTCCAAAGTAACAGAAATGTCATTTTTAATATTCAGTATATATTGTTCAGTGGTATCACCTATACAAGAAGCAATCAAGTGTGTCTGTGAGAATTACAGAGGGAAGCCTGGGTCAAGATTTGTTACTGAAAACATGGCCCAAGGAGGAAGCATACATCATCTGAGAGCCCACATCTCCACAAGAGGCTCACTGACTGCTGTGACTATTCAAGTCTGAGAAGCAGACTATGTATAAAATGAATGAATCAAAAATGGCCTAGATGACTGACCAACTCATTATTAAGCTATTCTCTACCACCGTCAACAATAATTTTCAAAACACTTTACTCAGCCTATGACTACGTGCATAGTCACACACTGAACTTAGACTACACTTGCTCACAGGGTAGCCCACACTCTTTATTCTACTTTTCCAGCCAACTGATAGATATATTTTATTTAAGAGAAAAATACAGGGAATAAAATGTCAGACTAAATACCTCCAGAGTAAACCTTTTTGAAGAGTGTCAAAGTAACAAAATAATTCTGTAATAAAAACACATGAAATACTCAATAACCCAGGCTTCTAATGATAATGTATATTTACACCTGCTCATCAGAAAAGTTCCATTTCAGAAACCATACCATTTCCTTACACAAGCTTAAGAAAAACTCCAAGTATACAGCATATTTTTATAAGGTATTGACATGAACAGACCAGATAGGCAATGTATCTTTAAAGGGATCAGTTGCATTACAGTTCACCAAAATGCAAAGGATAAAGTTAAAGATAGGAATTAAATGTTCCTTTACATAAGCCCCTTAAACTCCAGGTTACAGATTTAGCAGGTGAGCATTTATCGAATTACTATTTCATGATGGCAGGGTACTAAGGGCACAAGTACTGTTGTGTAAACACTACTTTAAAACCAGCTTTAAATACAAGCTTACCAGAGAATGCATTGTAATGCATTACACCAAAAAATGTCTACCAACAATTTAAATGTGGTAAATACAAAGGCAGACAGCATTACACCAAAAAATGTCTACCAACAATTTAAATGTGGTAAATACAAAAACAACTCCTACTTCAGCACACAGCAGTGCACACAATTAGAGACAATCTCAGTGTCTGGCAGTCCATCTTTAGAAGAGAATCCTTCACATGAAAAGGATTCTGTTTTAAAAATAAACTGTGCAGTGTGTTATTAACGGCATTACACTATTGTCTTTCTGAATCCCATCTGCTGTCACCCACCACAGGCTTTTCTTTCCAAATGTTGTCACTGATCAATATTAGCACAGCTCATTAATTAGTACTTCTTAGCTTAAAAAGAACAATAAAATAAAACCCCACTTCTCTAATCCACCAACCTTTTTTTTTTTTCCCCCTCCTTTCTCCCGGAAAACAATTGTGTTATCAATGTCCTTATTTCCATTCTTTTATTTACAGTTGAGTGGTTTTAGGAAACTTACTATAAAATCAGAAGTCCTTTATTCTCTGACTCCATTGCCCACTTTCTTTCAGTAACAAACTCTGCTACTATGAACATCTTTTGTTACTTTTGATTCTTTCATTTTCAGATAAAGTCCATAGATAGTCATGATTTACTGATTATCCCAATGTATTTAAAAATCAGCCTCTTCAGCTCTCGAAAGTGGCTATATTTTTAGGCATCTTTTACTTAATTCTACTAAGAGAATCTAATTGTTTTTAGGGAGCTGGAGGATTTTTAAAACTTTAACTTATTTTTTATGTGTTTGGGTGTTTTGTCTGCTTACATGTATGTGCACCACCCAAGTGAAGTGCCCTCAGAGGCCAAGAGGAAATAAAATCCCTTGGGACTTCAGTTACAGGTGGTTGTAAGCCACCTATCAAAGCTGGGTATTGAACCTGGATCCTCTGGAAGAGCAAAAATGGTCTTAATCACTTTGCTGGCTGGTTTTAGTTTTAGTTTTGTTGTTTGTTTGTTTGTTTGTTTGTTTTTTGGTCAAATAGAGAGGAGCTACATTTATCTAAGAAGAGAGAAATTGAGAATTGAGAAAATGCCACTATAATACTCGTCTGTATGTAAGCCTACATCTTTTAGGATGGAAAGCAACCCTCTGTTCTAAAATTTAATGGTAATGTATTCTGTTTTCCACTTTTTTTCCTCTCTGTATCAGTCTTTCTGTAGGCTATAACTTACACCTTCCCATCCAAGCAAGGTTACGGTTAGGGCTAGGGCTAGGGTTTAGGTTTTCCTCCTTTGTTTCCTTGACTTTCCTAGAAATCTTATCTGAATGTGGAGGACAGTTTCTAATCAGTTTATCTAATTCTTATTTTTCTCTCGACTTGTAATACATTGCTTTTACTTTTCAACCCTCCCATACTTGCTAAAGAATAGTCAGACTTCTGTGACTATCAGGAGCAACTGTGGCAGCTTCAGAATCAGAAAAAGAAATCTCTTAAGTATATTTGCAATAGATTACTCTGATTTAGTACCACCATCACTTTCATTTCCAGAAATAAGAGCGAGCTCTCAATTCATGACAATTTTAGAGGCTCTGTGGTGGCAAAAAGTTTCTTAGACCTTACTTAGTTTCTTAGACCCACTGCTAGCTTAAGAAACTTACCACACTTCCTTTTGCTTTTCAAGGTCCATTTTTTTTCTCCCATTCTCTATGTCCTTATGAAGTTGTGTCAATTGCAAAACTTATTTTTCTTTATTTAGCTGTGACTGGCCCATTTTATTGGATTAAGAAACATCTAAGACAGTGGTTCTCAACCTTGCTAATGCTGTGACCCTTTAGTACAGTTCCTCATGTTGTAGTGACTCCAACCATAAAATTATTTTCTTTGCTACTTCATAACTGTAATTTTATACTGTTATAAATCATAATGTAAATATCTGTGTTTTCTGATGGTCTTAGGTAATCGACATTTGACCCCCAAAGGAGCTTTAACCCACAGGTTTAGAGCTATTAATCTAAGAGATTAAACAAACAGATTAAACAGATTAATCTAAGAGATTAAACAGAGTTTGTCTACAGGGTAGTTCCAAAGTCAATTTATCTTAAGGGTTCTAACATAATGAACAGATTGATCTTTTGAATGACTCATGACATGAAGGCATTATTGAGAGGTGGTAAAAGGTAGGTGTGGCCTAGTGAGACGAAGTAGGTCAATGGTGGCCAGATCATAGGCTGTATCTTGCCCTGCCTCTTCCTGTATCCTGCCACCTCCTCTGCTTCATGTTCCTGCTGCCTTATTGGTTGACTTCACAATGATCTCAGAAATGTAAAAGCAAATAACCATGGTCTACTGAACCCAGAATCCAAAATGATAATCCAGAAGTCTATCTTAAAGTAGCTTATGTTGGGCACTGCACCACAGTGAATAGGGAGTTAACACACTGGCTGTAAGGAGATTTCAAGACATGAAATTTAGCTGCAGTGCTTGCCATCTCAGCACAGATGTCCTCACTCTCTCTCATCACTCTGTTGCACTCTTGTAACCTCCACTGAGACTGCTTACCTGTCATCACAAATAGTGCATTGCTATATACAGGGGCTGACTCCCTGATTCTTTAAGCTATCCTTGGTGGATGTGATGTAGGCCATCACTTGTGTACATTTTCCAGCTTTTGTATTTATTTTAATGGCCATGCCTCTCCTATGATAAGTATTAGTCTGCACTAGGGCTGGATACACTTCCCAGATAACTGAATGCACACTTTTAAGTACTCTATGCCCACAACTCCTAAATCCATTATCTTAGTCCAGATTTCCAACTTCAAAGCCTTAAATATAGACTGCCCTTTCTCTCTGTTTCTCTGGTGACAGAGTATCACATGGCCCAGGCTGGCCTCAAATTTTGGATCCTCTCCCTGCCTCCCAAACAGGCATGTGACACCATGTCTGGTATCACAATGCCTTTTTAGCATATCTATAGTTTGTGTGGGTGCATGTATGTATGTATGTATGTATGTATGTATGTATGTATGTATGTTACATATATGCATGTCTGTTCAGGCCGTGCCTGTGTGCAAACCAGAGGTTGACACCATATGTTTTCTTCTATGGTTCTCTGACCTGAAACTCACCACTATAGCAAACCTGGCCAAGGAGTTCTGGGGACGAACCTGTCTCCACCCCCTAGTGCTGAGGTTACAGGCAGACAATGCCACACAGCTTTTCTTATGTGAGCGCTAGGAAGGAACGTGAGCTCAGGCTGGTCCTCATGCTTGCATAGCCAGCACTTTGCCCAGTAAGCCATCTCCCCAGCCACTGTATCTTCTACAGGTATCCAAAATATAAGAGTTTAATCAGAGCACCTGACTGTTTTCCAGCCATCTACTTCTTTACTCCTCATTGTCTTTTGCAGGCTGATCTTCATGTATGCTCTGTGGTACCTAAAGCACATTCCAGCTACATTTATCTTCTGTTCTTCAAGCACCCAGTCATTTCTGTGCCCACTGGCAACATAGCTTCTTTTCTCTTTAGAGTCACACATGGCTTAGCACCTGCCATTTCACTTACAACTAAAATGACCTTTTCAACACAGCCTTCTCTGACTATAACCTTATGAAAGCCACCCCCAATCTCTATCATCAATTTTATTTCTCTTGGTAATACTAATTGTTTGTTTACTGCTTGTCTTCTTTTAAAATGCACTCTTCATGAGGCAGTGATAGCTTCAGTCTTATTAATCATCATGTAATCATTAATTAAAGCAACACATAAAAGCCAGGTGGTGGTGGTGCACACCTTTAATCCCAGCACTCAGGAGGCAGAGGCAGGCGGATCTCTGTGAGTTCAAGACCAGCCTGGTCTACAAGAGCTAGTTCCAGGACGGCCTCCAAAGCCACAGAGAAATCCTGTCTCGAAAACAAACAAACAAACAAAAAACAAAACAAAAAACAAAAAACAACAACAACAAAAAAACAAAAAACAAAACAAAACAAAACATAAATAGTAACTATTATATGGCAAATGTTTTGAGTTGGACTTAACACAAAAGCAATTTTTTTAAATAATATTTTCCTCAAATAAGTTCCTTCACACATTTTTTTCTGTGAAAAAATAATACAATGGAACATTATAGATGCCTTTACCTTTTGCACTTTTTAGATCTTTAGAAGGGATTCTCCAAAACCCAGCCGCTCAAGGCTTTCTTCTGTATGACTGACCATCAGAACTGCATTTAAAAAAGAAAGAAATCTTAAATTTATACAACTTATATACAACTTTGACACAAAAACATTTTAACTAATTCCTGATTATATTTAAAACTTTGTTATAAAAATGAACAATAAAATTCAAATTCTATAAATTGATTTCATAAAAAGAAAATAGTTTTAAAACTACAAATGAGGCTAGGAATTTAGAGCAAAACCAAATACTACTGCTCTGCTAAAGGAACATAGCCATAAAAATGACTTAACAACATTTTGCTATACTCATAGATCAGTATCTTGCTTAGCCATCATCAGAGAAGCTTCCTCCTGCAGTAGATGAAGAGAAATACAGACACCCACAGGTAGGCAATGAGAGGAGAAAGAGAAAGACCGTGGAGCACTCAGTCCGAAATGGAATGTCTCCATCGAATCCCTTCCCTCAGGGCTCAGGGAACCCTGGGGAAGAGGAGGCAGAAAGGGTATAAGAACCAGAAGGAATGGCAGACAGCAAGGAAACAAGGCCTTTTAAACACAATGGCCGATGGGAGATATGATCTCGTAGAGGCTGTGGCAGCATGCACAGGGCCTGCACAAGTCCTCACCAAATGGGGTCCCAGAGCTGGGAGAAGAAATGGACACAAGCCTCCATCCCTAACCCAGAAGTTATGTCAGTTGATAACCACTTGAACATGAAAAATTGGCTCTCTCCAATGGAGCCTTAAGGGCAGGCCCCATGCCTAGCACTAGATGGCCAACATAGAATGAACTCAATGAAGGTTCTCTGTCTCATAAGGTTTTGACAAGGCATTTTTTTTCTTTAACATTACAGGCCCTTTGATATTAATGGCTTCTGATTTTGTGTTTGTAGGAAATTTTTGTGTGTACAAACGTGTGTCTTTGCATCTACATGTGTATGTTGTACTTTTGCTTTGGCTATTTTTCTTCTGTTTGTTTTGTCCTATTCTGTTTGTTTTTGGGTTAGATGATGATGATGATGGAGCCTGTGAGTAGAAAGGCTATCGATTACGATAGGAAGGAAGGTGTGGGGAATCTCAGAGGAGCTGAGGGGGAAATCAAATTCAGAATATATTGTATAAAAAAATCTCTTTTTAATAAAAGGATAAAAACAGAAAAATATAAATAAATCATGTCATATTCTCTACAGAAATTGAACCATAGGTTTTTTTTTTTAAATTACACAAGTATCCTAATGAACATACAATATAAATATAAATATAAATGTAAAGTGTGGCATCAGTAACATAAAGCAGGAGGAATAGTAAATGACTTCAATTTCTGCATGCAATTTAAGATTTTAGCTTAAAGAGACTGTCACATTTTATGTAATATCCATAACAATAACAGGTATTTCTATGGATACACAAAAAGAAAAGTGAAAGCACAACAATGTAAAAGGAACATAATAAATGCAGAGGAAACCAGCAAGAAGAGAAGAGCTGGTGAGCTGGAAAACAAGGAATCACAGTAATGTAGAGGATTATATCCTAGAGTGAGAGACGGAGTAGCTGAATGAACTCAAAATAAGTAAAACCCAACCATATAGTATCTTAAGACTTATTTTAGATTTAAGTACACATACGCTAGAACTAAAAAGACATTGAGAAATATTCCACATAGGTCAGGTGGCAAACAAAAACAGGGCATATGTGGCCATACTTGCACTACACAAAACAGACTTTAAGTAAAAAACTGTCATGGGGTAAGGGTGTGTGTGTGTGTGTGTGTGTGTGTGTGTGTGTGTGTGATATATAAAAGATTCACTTTACTCAAAAGTTACAGCAATTATGAATGTATACTCCCAACAACAAGCCATCCAAATACAAGAAGCAGAGTGAAGGGAAATAAAGCAATAGGTTTAGATAATGGACAGATCATCCCATTGAAAAATAAAAGCAGACTTACATTATAGACCAAACATACATATAAACTTAAAAACATGCAAATTTAACAGCACACTATTAGAAAACCAAAGGCCTAAAGACCAAATCAAGAGGGAAATTATCAAGTATTCTGAGACAAAAACACAACAAATACATGGGTATAGCCATTTTAGAGCAGTATTTAAATACCCACAATAAAAACTACCACACCTAGAGCGCAGCTCTGTGATGGGCACTTGCATGATGCACTCATAGCCTTGGGTCCAACATCCAGCTCTGAAAAAGGAAAATTAAGAAACCTCAAAGAACCAGAAAGAAAAACAATCAAATCTGTAGTCTGCAGAAGAAAGGAAATAAACATCAATCAGAAATAGGACCCAGCCCCAAAATCAACAAAACTAAGCCTTTTAAAAATGTATCAAATGAACTGACATACCTTCAATTCTATTAAGTAGATTCAGATTATTCAAATCAGAAATAAGAGACAATTCAATTGAAGCCACAGACATGGGACTGTAAGACATTACTATAACAACTATAATCTAGACAAACAAAAAACTGGATAAACCCAACACATATACACCCTATCAAGACTTAAACATGAATGGAATGTGAACAGATACATATACTGACCTAATAATCAAAAACTACTCATAAACAAAAAACAACCAAATTGGCTTCATTGGTTCTATCAAGCCTTGACTGAGTTAACACCTTTTCTCTTCAAACTCTTCCAAAGAACTTCAAGGATATTACAAAGTGATTCTACAAAGCCAGCATGATCTTCTTAACAAAAATCCAAAGGAGAAACAGTCAGAAGGACAGAGGAAAGTCCAACATGCCCCTGATAGTTAGCACTCATTATCCACTTCACAGGATGCAGGCTCACCTAGGCGGTAAGTCTGAATGTGCCTGTGATGGACCCACTATGATGTGAGCAGCACCATCACCTGGGCTGAGGTCCTGGATGGCACACAAAGTAAAAACGTAGTTGAGCAAAAGAGCTTTCTTCCCCCTTTTCTTCCCCACTGTGGATGCCATGTGACCAGCTGCCTCAAGCTCTGGCTGACTGCTTACTCACTAACCACTCTAGTAACTGAATTACAGCCCCAGCCAGGAATTTGCTCTTCTTAAAGGAAAACTTGTGGCTCAGGTGGTAGAGTGCTTGCCTATGAAGCATGAAGCCCTGGTTTGATGATACATCAAATAATCCAGGCATGATAATGCATATTTGTAATTCTAGTACTCAGGAAGTGAAGGCAGAGGATTAGAAGTATAAAAAAGAATCCTCCCTCATCTACATGGTAAGTTCAAGGCTAGCCTAGGCTATACCCAACTCTGACTTTTAAAGGGGGGAGGAGGAGATTGAGACACATAAATATAGTCTGAAAATATACAGATCCTTTGACCTAATAATTTCATTTTGGGAAATAGAGATGCACCCTAAGTTTTACATTCACTGAAATAATTACTTACAAGTAAAGCTAGAAAAAAATTGCATGCCCAATTGTACTGATGGTGGCACCTAAACATAAAACCACAGTTACACAATATGATGACTTCTGAGATATTTTATGGATAATGGTTTTTACATTTTTGCAGTACATTCTAAAATTTCCCTCATAAACATACATTCTTTTTATAACTAAAAAAATGAAGTATTCATTTTATCTTTTGAATAATTAGGTATCTAATACTATAGCTCTACCTATAGAGCTATAGGAAGATAAAATACATTTTATTTATTCCAAAAAACAAAAACATAAGCAAAAAATTACTTTCCTATGTATTTACATCGTTTAAAGGGGGGGAATTCTTTTAACTTGATTTAATTATTGCTAAATACCAAAGGACAACTCAAAAACTTAAGTTAAAAACTAAAACTATGAATTTTCTATAATGATTTATACAACTAAAACTGTAATTTTTTAATCAACCTATTTATTTCATGACTACTTTAGAATTTTGTCTGTTAAATTTGTTACCACAAATTTTGTTTCCTGATATAAACATTAATCAAAAGTAGTGCTAAAGTTTAACTGGTATGATACAAAACTCAAGTACTACTCTTTAAAACCACACCCCAAACCAAGTTTATGACTCAAGCCTTGTGGTGGTACCACAGAAGCTTCCTGCTCAATGACTTATCAAATGTCAAAGAATGAATAATTTCTGAAACATTAAACAAAACCAAAAAAGTAGCAAGTTCTCTTAGAAAAACGTTAAGACCATTTCAACAATTCAACTGATACATCTCTACAAATATTACCTAAGCTCCCAGTTTGTATAGTGTCCAAATAAATACAAGAACCTATTTTCTCTTCTAAAAAAACTACTTTCACCAGCAATATTAAAAAATGACACTAATTTTTAAATGCACATTAAAAATTATGTGATGTGATTTTGAAGTGTGAAACATAAATCCAAACTTAACTAACTAAACCAAAGATTTTGTAAGAGTCCATTAACTTAAAAAGCCAAATGTGTGTAGATTTCTTAGATGGGTCCCCAAAAATAAGAGAGAAAACTGTACCAACCTAAAAGAAGTACAGTCTTTCATTAGTACCACAAATCTTTAGGGGCTCTGATTTAGAGCCGGGCGTTGGGGGTGCAAGCACTCGGGAGGCAGAGGCTAGGTGGATCTCTGAGAGTTCGAGACCAGCCTGGTCTACAAGAGCTAGCTCCAGGACAGTCTCCAAAGCCAGAAAGACCCTGTCTCAAAAAACCAAAAAAAAAAAAGAAAAAGAAAAAAAAAAAGAAATCTGATTTTGGTAGCAATATTACTAAAACACAATGCTTAGAGCTTGCTCATGAGACAGACAGACAGACAGACAGACAGACAGACACACACACACACACACACACACACACACACACACACACACACACGCTGAAAGTACATTACATACTTGCATGAAAATGGTTTTATGTAGTAAATACCTAAGAAAAACACACATACACAACTCCATGTTGCTACTGCTAGTGCAAACTAAAGAGGAACCACACCATCAGTCTTTTCCCCACGCTTCTTGCTATAACAAATTAACACAAATTATCTTAATAATGAATATATATATGTATTCATTATATATTTATATCCACGCTATCAATGAGGCTATACTTAAAATATCACCCAAAGTAAATAAATCCTTTTGCAAGGCTTCAATAGCCCTCTGAATATTTTGCAATATAATCACTAAAATGACAGTTGCTTTGATTTATTAAAACTTAAGTTAACTGCCAAATCACTTTTGTGCAACCAAGTAGGTCAAGCAAATTCACAGCCATCTGACTACTTTAAATAAACATTCTGAACCACAGATTATTTAGAAAATAATGGCCATAATATTTTCTCTCCACTAAAGTAATTACTATACTTATTTGTCCTTAAAACAAAATTTACACCTTTGAAGATATAAGATTTACAATCTGACTTACACACATTACTCGTGTGTGTGTGTGTGTGTGTGTGTGTGTGTGTGTGCGCGCATGCACACGTGAGAGCTGGTATTTGACCCTTATCTCTAGTTGTCAATCTTCCCCTACTCCACATCTTATAAACCCTAGCAACTGACCGACTCCACAGAGCAAGGGTTTGACAATTAGTCTTCACTGACAACTTGACTGGATTTAGAACAGCTTAGGAGACACAGCTGTGAGGGTGCCTACAGGGAGGGGTGTTTCCAGGGAGAGTTAACTAGAGGAAGACTCACACTAAAGGTAGGTGGTGCCATCCCATGCACTGAGCCCTAGACTGAAAAATAAAAAAAGACAAAGGGAAAAGTAAGCCAGGCACCAGCATTCTCTGACTCTTGACTTCAGACACAATGTGACAGCTGCTTCACAGTCCCACTGCCATGTCATCACCATCAAAATGGATTCTATCTCCCCAAACTATGAACACACACAATGAAGTCTCCCTCCCTTCCTTCCTTCAGCTGCTTTTATCAAGTGTTTTGGTACAGCAGTCACAGGAGTAACTAATGAAGGGTCAGCTAACTTTTTCTGTATGGGATTAATCCACAGCTGAATGTGCTACAAGGCTATGGATGGCACCTGCTTAGAAGAACAGGTTACTGGGAGTGTGCCTTTGAAAAGCAGGCCTTCTCCCCAGAGTCTGCACATCTAATGAGGTAAGCCACCTTCTCCACACACTCCTGCTGCTATGCTGTTTGGCCTCCCCACAGACCCACATTAACAGCAAAAGCTGATCAGGAACTAAAACCTCTAGAACTCTGAGCCAAAATAAAACTCCTCATTTAAAACTTGTTCTCAATTTTGTTACAACAATCAGAAGCTAATATGCACTCCTTATAAAAAAAAAGAAAATTCTAAAGATTTTTAAATAAAAGCTACAGAGAAAAAGTAACAGACCATGCCCCAAATACATTTATAACCTTGGTCTATGTTGACCACGACATTGAAATCCCACCATATTACAATTAATGAAAAGGTGTGTTTGTGGGGGAAGCCATACCTCTGGGCTCAAAGAGAAGGTTGAAGGTTATTGAATGAAATTCATCAAATTCTAAAGACTGACCTAGAAGGACTGCAGAAATTTCCAAAGGCATCTCTCTTAACTGACAGAATCAGCTTCTGAATTTTATACCAACATGAAAAATAACTCTACAAACGAAGCAGTTGCAACAAAATTCCAAGTATAACACTGACTCCATTATTACTATTTAAAAATGCTGAACATTTGGAAGGGCACTCCTATTTTCCAGAAATTGAGAGTATGGCAATGAACATGCCATGTCTCATTAATATGTAAATTTCAGCTTGAAGGACCGTCACAGTGTAGAGAGAAACCATAAAACCATAGGCAAATAAAGGAAAGCTGATCAAGAGACCCCTGGACCTGATCTTTACACGTTGTATACAAAGGTATATTTGTATGTGTGTGTGGGGGGGGGCGCATATACACGGACCAGGAGAGAAGCCTCATGGAGCTGGAGATAAAGACACTCAAAGTGAGTGCTGGGAATTGAACTCCAGTCCTCTGGAAGAACAGGGAGTGCTCTTAGCCACTAAACCATCTCTCCAGCCCCCAGATATATCATGCATTCAAATGCAGACCACTGAATTATAAAAAGGAAAATCATAGGGACCTAGAACTTGATGCAGCTTTTCAGCCTAACTTCAAATACATGATCCACAAATAAAAACTGGTAAATTAGACTTCATCAATATGGAAAGCTTTTGTTCCACAAAAGACTCTAAAAGAGTATGAAGGAAAAGCTAAAGACTGAAAAAATATTTGCAAATCACTGGTC